TTCCGGAACGGGTCGGTCCAGGAGTTCTATCGCTTGAAAACCCTGATTACTTTGGAACAAGTGATTAAAAATAAAACACAAGTGATTGCTTCAGTGGTAGAAAAAAGAACAATCTTAATCAGCAACCTAGTTGGTGAGGCTAACTGGTCGGGTGTTGTAAACTTTCATTGTATGCAAATAAGTCTTGTTGTGAGCATACGGTTTATTTTTGGCGATGATTGAAATATCACGTTTCCTTGATTTTCGTTTATTTATCAATTCAGAAACAAAACGTCGAATACGATAAAAAAAGTTAATAGCCTGAAGAATACTCGATCGTCGATAAAGTAGGAAATTATGTTTGGTGTGGAATTAATCGCCTCCTAGACCGCGAACAGTCTTGTTTTTCTTTAGAGTCACAGTAGGTCGCGGTCTAATCCCCTCCTCATTTCCCATCTTATCTTCAAGCAAGCGAGACTCAACGCCACTAAGAGCATTCTTGTTCCTTCTGAAATGATGCAACGATCTATGTGATGTCTCAAAGGTTTAACAGGAGCTTTTTGAGAGCTTGGTGCCAACGCTGATCAAATAAAGCAGAATACATTAAGAATCTGGGTCACGAGCTGGCAAGAAGATCAAACATTTGAAATTTACAATCAGCCTTTTCCTATGGACAAAAGATGACTGAAATACTGCCCATCAAAAGCAAAATGACGCGCTGAGTAGTTGCCGGTTTACTTACTTCTTATTGTGAAAGGTTTGAACCCAGGAGTCATTTTAAAAGTAGGTTGAGTTTGATCGTCCGGGTGAACGTAGTCCTGAATAGGATTGTTGTTGTTGACAGTGACTCACAGTCAACAACAACAGTCCTGTTCAGGACTACGCTCACCTGAACGATCAAGCTCAACCTACTTTTACTTCTTATTGGTTAAAAGGCCATTTGCACGATGACGTCAAATTCATTACAAGTACCAGAATCCTTTAGATTCTCGTGTAAATGCGGTGATGTGATCGGTTGATTACTCCTACAAAGATGCGAAGATGCATAAATCGGGCCGTGTCCAACCTCTTCTTTCATCTAACATTAATTCTGAATGAACTGGATTTCAGACACGTTTGTTTTTTAGGAGAGGGAAAAAGGGGAATACCCAGAGAAAGCCGAATTCAATAATCGTTTTTTTATTCATTCAAAATAATCCGTCGTTTAAAAACAAGCTAAAACATGCTTACCTCCATCGATCCATCGATGTTAAGTTCATCTTCAATTGCCTGTTTATCGGCAAGTTTAGGAGAATGTTCAGTTCTGCAAATATTCTCCAAAATCGCAGATCAAAAGATGATTGAAATATTGCTAATCAGAAACAAAATGACTAGGTAGCTGAGTTGTTGCCAGTTAACTAACCCCTTATTGGCTAAAAGTCCACTGAACTGTACGATGACGTCAACTTACTACAATTACCAGAATACTTCAGGGTTTTGCTTTTTCCGTAAATCAGGGTCGGCCAGGGGTGTAGTGATATACCAGTATACCCGAAAAAAATTCGCCAAAATACCCCAAAATTTATCCAAATATACCCAAAATTATACCCAGGTATACTTTACACCTGAAATTCTAAGAAAGTGATATACCGAATACCCGTATTTAAGCTGCAATATACCGTATACCCAAAAACCCTGGCCCAACCTGTTAAGTTGGGGCTTTGTTTTTTGGAAACCTTACTGAGATTCAGAAATCGTGCAGGTGGCCTATTTTAGCTATGCAATAACTTAAAGGTTTTAAACACCCTGGAATGAAGTTTTTGTTTAAACCCAAAAACATTGTTGGGACAGCTATACTGTAAAACCCTCTTCACTTCACTGAAGACAGTACCAATGACAGACTTCATTGACAAACAAGATGGTTCGCGGTTTTGTCCCTTGAAAATCAGCTAATTTATCCTTATAAATCATGTTCCTTACGCGATAATCGGAAAACCGCATAATGTAGGACTCAGATTTGGGAGAGGAGAATTTTTATCCAAGGCGAAATATGAGATATATGTTCGCGTGACAAAGCGAAATAATTCGTGATTTAAAATCGACATGTAAGAAAACGATTTATTTCGTTAATCACTGCATTCCAGAGAAAATAATTCAGTCATAGCTACAGTTGTATCTTTGCTTGCATGTGCAAAAGTAAGTTGAACTGTGAGATCTGTCTCAAAGGTCCCGTCAGGAAATGAGATGTTTTATGAAAAATTCATACTGTTGGCACTGTTAAATAGTTAATGAGAAAAAACAGGTGTAGAAAACTTGGAGGATTTTCACGCGAGCAAAATCATGGTTCTTTTCGCTATCACTTGTCACCTTGCATTGTTATACCGCTCGATCAATGGGCCAGTCATTCAAACACCATCGTTGAGTGTATGGTTTTACCTTGTTGATCGTGACTATCGGTCCTTCACTGCAGACCATCTTGCTACTTGTTACAGCGCTTGCAATACCCCACTATCGTGTCAAAGTTTAAACTGCGATCTTGTCAGCAAGTCTTGTCAGTCTAACAATGACACTAAATATTTCCAATCCAGTTATTTTGTGGTGAAAGCAACCTAAACGCTGACAACCCCAATTCTGGTAGGTTGTTTGAGACGTTAGAGACCAATTCATCAGCCGGCGACAAATATGCAAATAGATTCCTTGCTGCCGTGCGTCTGCTCCGGTACTGCAGAGTAATTTCGAAAAGTTGCAAGAGCGAAAAAGTATTACACTAGCTACAAGCGAGTGGCACTGATGATCTTAACACATTAATGTCTTTTATAATCTTTTACTGAACTGACACGGGGCATCATGAAATCTATTTGTTTTATACAATTATTATTAAAGAGTTAAAACGACAAACGTGCCCGGTAGCGCTTGACTATTTAATCATTTGTTTTAGTTTAGATTTTTTGGGATTGAGCAAATCCACACGGACATCGACACGCCTACTTATAGGGTCGTGAAGTCATTACTAGTACTTGCCTGAACATGTTTAGCATAAAATAAACGTGTTTCCCACGCATTTTATCCATTTATTAACCCTCGGATGAACAAGGGGGGGGGGCGTGCTTCCCACCCCCTCATAAGGTTTTTCTGATTTTTTCCCTAGACGATAAAATATCAGCACCTGAAGTTTTCTGTAGCTATTCGCTTATCCGTGGCGCACATTTTGAGACAAGTTTAGTGATGGCCGGTTACTATGGTTACGAGATATGAGGTCATAAGTAGCAGGTGGTCAAGCCATTTTTGAGCGAAAATGTCAATTTTTCAACTTTTTTCAACAATAAAAGGAAAACTTGTGGATGAAATGGAGCAAAGTAATTATTTATTTGTTATTTTACATGTTAAGCGCAAAAAAGTATTAATGCTCTCTGTTTTTAGCTGGTTTATAATTCTTGATAAAATCCAAGATGGCTACCTTGTTTGGTGACGACACAGACCTCCAGCAGCGCCACCACCCATAAAATATACTTCATCTTGTAGAAAAGAACAGAGGCTCAGAAGTCAAAATCGTTTCGAATTATTGCAACATATCAAGTAGGGGTATGACTTTGCTTGTACGTCCGAGGGTTAAATTTTGATCCCTAATTTTGATCCCCCCAAAAAGGGTGTAATTCTGCTGGAACACCACTAGTATTTTCAAAACTGTGAGTCTCTAGTGATGACAACTGTTTCGGTGGTTTAAAAGGTTTAAGAGGACTTTGCGGAGGTTTTCAAGAGTCACCGTGTACACCTTTCGTCTCATTTATTTTTTTTCAATGTTTTATATAGCTCCTTTTGGCTTTTCTTGGAACCTTTCACTCGCGCAATCGTAGATACTGGCTTTCAATTACCAGGGTCCTGCAGCATTCATAATAGACCACTAGCTGGACTTTACTAAACAAGAGGGTATACAATCATAGCACTAGGGTATACAAGGGTATACTTGGTATACTTATAAAAATGCGGTTACAATAACATATTGCACCATATATTAGGGCAACTATATGTAGACTACCAATTACACTGTACTTGCTGTAGTTGTTTACATTTTTTGCCTCGTTAACATATGAATATCATCATCTGATGTAGTAATAAAAGAGATCAAATAACACCTCTGAATATTAAAGAAGCATATCAAACAATTTTAGTTATCTTTGAAAATTTCTACCCGATATACCGAATAATTTCGGAGAAACTCTCTTTAAAAAGTCCTAATTTTTACAAAGATTGTATGAATGTAGGAATGTATGCCCAGTTTGACCAGCTCTTTCAGCTTTTCAAGCTATTTATATATAGCTGTGAAAGTTTCAAACAACCTTGTCGGAAGCGTAAAGCAAAAAGCCTTTAAGCAAAGACCGCAGGTTAATATGGGATTTCAATGATGACGTCAGTGCTATCAATACACTGATAAAGAAGGTGTTGGGGTATGAGGTACATGAAGTAGCGGAAACTCTTCGTATGTCCTTGAGAAAACTTGCGAGCGTGGAAGGTTATGTGAGACTTAAATATTCTAAACTTTGATCCCATAGGTCAAACAATAGGAATCGTATGCAAATATGACCTATTTGACCTATTATGAAACCCACGTAGAACGATCCACTCAGTTTAAAGGCTATTTAGAAATCGTTTATGCTTATCGTGTTTTTATTAAGTTATGGATGCACGCGTGGCTTGGAAAGTACCAGAGAAGAGCTAAAAAGTGAAAAAAGGAATACGAAAGTGCCGGGTTTCAAATCTTTTATTTATTGTCACTATTTTTGTTTGTACTATCATTTAATTTTTCCTCTCGTTGACTTAAAACTTTACAAGAACTTATAACTAGCTGAACTTAGACAATCCTAGCAGCTTGGACAGAATTGCCTGTACAAATAAATATGAAATGCACTAATTAAAGCACATAATTATGTGACAATTAGTACAATAATGTACAATAAGTACAAAGATGCATGCATCTTGTGGGATCGTCTGACTGTTACTTGTTAATTTTCAAAGGAATAGTCAAATATAGTCAGTTTAAAATCCTCGACGTTCCAATCAAAAACGCATCAAAATGTACAAAACTGATTCAAATTCAATTTACTTTAACAGACCATCAACATTGTTATCAACAGTTGCATTGCAGTGTTTGAAATAAGAGATTACAACCTGTGAATATTTATACGCCTTTTGCAGCAAGAAGCCGAGCAGTATGGCGGGCAGTAGTTGGTGTTGCTAGTGCAGGCTAAAGGACATCGTTGCAATGGATAAGTGTTGCTGTACACAAGGCGTGGCTGCTGAATCACAGCTGATGGGTATTGTGCACCAGTCGACTGAGAACAACAATATGAATCACATCCAGGTTGACAAAAAGTAGTAACACAATGGCTTGGACAGTATGAAACACCTGGAATTTAAAGAAGAGCTTTTGTTTCTGGGCCATCGTGGCTTTATCAGATTTAAATTTTAAAAAAAGACAACATCTGAAACATCCCGTAACGGTCACTTTTTGACTACAATAGAGGTCAAAAGAAAAAATAGCCCTTCCAAGAAATTGTTGCGTAGGACTCTGCTCCTAATGACAATTTTTTATCGGTTTTGGGTTCATCCCTTTATCCCCCCACTGCCCCCTGTAATTCTGGGCCCCAAAAAGGACTCATTACCACCCAGTTTGCTCAAAATTTAACATTGTGTGGGGTGGGAGGGGAGGGGTCGCTAGTTTTACTAATATCACTGGAAAGGTGCCAGCACTTTTGACCTCCATTGTCGGAAAACAACTGAGGGTAGAAAACTAACTGTTGCCTTGTTAGCTGTTACAAAATGACTACCTTTTTGCTGGAATCCAACTTTCGACGACGGTAGATTTTATTTTATTGCTCTAAATCAATTTAAGACAATGGAGCTCAAAAGAACTGGGGACTGCGTGAAAAACCCCTTACAAGTAATCGCTACATAGAACTCTGCTCCTCGTAATGACATTTTCTGATCCTTCCTTTGTTCTCGCACTCTCCCTCAGCAATTTTGCGCAACATTGTTTGGGGTGGGAGGGGAGGGGTCGCTAGTTTTACTAAAATCACTAGAAAGGTCCCAACACTTTTGACCGTTATTATAGCGTCAAGTTGAATGTTTATCACCGCTGTTTGTGGAAAAGTATCAGAGCTATGCTACATGGATCCTCTGCAGGGATTTGTTTGCAGTTTCTTTGTTCTGGAAACATTTACTGTATTTCAGATAAGAAATACCGCAGCAAAATTCAATAAATTAATGAGTTGCTGAATTGTTCCGTCAAATTAAAAGAGTTAATATACAGTAAAAACGTACCGCCAGTAAGAACCCGCATTTTCCCCGGTTAGCCGAGACAGGTTCTTACATAAATGGTAATTAGCACAAATTAAGGCCATTTAGGCTCTTAAAGAGGTTATCATTTTCGGAAGTAAAAATACATTGTCGCTAAGAGTACTAGTATTTAGGGTTATTTAGATTTTTCTTCAGGGATATAAAATCTGCGTACCATTACATCGCAGTTGGAGTGATAAGACACCTATGTCTCCAGAGAAGATCCTGAATGTTGACTTATTTTATTTGCCCAAGTGTACAGCACTTTTTTTGGTCAATTTTTGAACTTGAGAACCTGTTTCAAATTTTAGGTTAAACAGGTTCTTGTATAGACGGGGCCTAACTGGCAAATATATTTTAGCCTAACGGGTTCTTAAAAGCGTGGTACTTACTCGAGGATTTTTTCTGTACTCATCATTATCTTTCCCAGGTAAATTACGAACCAGCTCCCAATATAATTGGCTTGCTAGCTCAAGATTGTTAGATCGCTGCACCGGTATCGCAGAGGTCGGGGCTAGAATCCCGACAAGCCTATAAAGTTTTCAAGTTTGATCGCTACTGCATTTAGTTGAGTATTTAGCTGCGATCATCTTTTCTCTATTCACGAAACCTTCTATAGCATTGTCAAGTAAAGTGGACATTCCTTCACGTACCTGGAGTCAAAATGCCTATAGAAATAAGTTTTGCTGAAGCCCCATTAGAAAGCTGCAGCTCACCGTCGTTTTGTTTGATACTGGTTTGCAGGGAACTGATGGAATCAGTTACCCCTGCCTCTGGACCAAGCTTTACGACGACTTCAACAAAGGATAATCCGTTTGGCATGCACCTACAACGACAAAATCAATTTCAGATGATTCTACTGAAATACCTGTGTTCTAGTAAGCCCGCTTAGTATTTCATTTGTGTGAAATCCATTTAAAAACGCGACGGTGTTGTAAGATTGACTGTCACAGCACTGTATTACAACGCTTATACTACTACATGAGAAATTTCTGCAATTTGATTGGCTTAGAGCAGTGGTATTTCAGCTTAATTTGAAATACCTATACATGTGAAAATTACAAATTTTTTGCTGGTAGTAGTATAAACAAATAATAGCATGATTTGTACGTCGTGATATTTGGCATAAATACCACTCGTGATATATATAACAATTTCAAAATATCACTCGTGGTATTTATGCCAAATATCACTACAAATCAGTTCTGACAAATTCTACTATTACCTACACAAACCCTGAGAATTATGATCGAATTGCCCTGAGATGCCCTTTTGCCTTTCTTGACAGCTGCTATCTTCTAAACACTAAAATAACACCCCTCCTTCTTTTACGTTGATTTTTTTCTATCTATTTATTTCCTTATTTGCTTTATTATTACGTTTTTTAATTTTTTTCTTTGATTTTTGCTGCACTTAACAATCAGGGAATTAATTTTCAGTTCTCTACCAACTCATCTATCTGTTTCCGGACTTTTTTCGGCGTAACTTTAACCAGACAAAAAAAAATTACCAAATAAATGATACGAAGGTAGGTGCAGCGCTTAAAAAAACCAGACAAGAAAAAGAAACAAGAGGCCTTAAAATATAAATTCATCAGTAATTCAAAGTCTTACCCTATCGTGTTTACTATTATGTGCACTGCAATGTTCTTTGCTTGGAAGTAACGGGTAAGCTGAAAGATAGGAACAGACAGTGTCGTTCTGGAAAATTGTGTCTTTTCCAGCTGTTCGTTCTTGGTTTATCCCATACACCACGATCTTCAAACGCAAATGTTAAAATAGATTTGGTAGAACACCGTGCAACCCTACTAAAGAGATAATCTGGAGACCCTACGGCCTTAGTTTGAGCATGTTGACTGGCATCCATGAAACAATGTCGTGTATACAATAAACTTTCTATCCTCTTGGCTTTGAAAACTGCCTCACGATCCTTGTAATTGAGAAGCCGGGCGACAATTTTGCGAGGCTTCGGGAGTCAGAGCGAGGTCTACCAACACGATGAGCCCTTTCTGTGACAAAGTCGGTATCGACAAGAGGACCATTCTCAATCGAAGGTTTAAAAATTCATGTAAATCTGACTATCGCTTGCACGAAATTGAAAAGTAACGTTATGTTTATGTATAATATAGGGAGCTTTAGCATCGACGACGGCAACTGCAGCGAAAACGTCCGTTTTAAAATGAATTCCCGTTTTTTCAATCTTTGTCGCGTTTATTCCAATTTGCTGAGAATGGCAAGTGTAGGCGAATTTCCCTGGAGTTGATTTCTTGAGGAACGCACTCAAGTTTAGAGAGAGAAAAGGAGATTCGTCGTCGCTTGTTTACGTCCTCCATAAAACTTGCAATTAGGCATTTTCATGTCGTAGTAGTGCAAGGATGGTAGAGAAATGTACAAAAAAGCGTAATGGTCGTGCAAAGTTGTTGTTTTGCGTAATAAACCTATTGCTTTTTTGACGTCCTCTTTGCCGTCGCCTTCGTCGTTGCTAAAGCTCCCTAATATAGGGAGAGGTGTAGACTGAGGAGAAAAAGCAATGGACCCAACACAAATTCCTAGGGTACTCCAAAATACCACTTTGACGATTGGCTTCCTTAAACTATAACAAACTGCCTCTGCCCACGACGTGAAGCAGCAAACCAAAAAAGGCAAAAACAATACTTACTGTGTCTCTGAGTAAGTCGTTGCCACTTTGCACATAAGGTGTACAGGCCGTATAAACTCCAGGGTAAAGTGACGCGGGATATTGGTTAGATTGGTAGTTCTGGGAACGCGGCTCAGTTAAATTGAAAGTAAACTTATAAGTGATGTACCCTGCAAAATAAATCATATTTGCTTATTTCTACAATTCTAAAAAAGTTTACGAAAAGTCTTTTATAGGAAAGATCGAGGCAATGAAATTCTGAGGTGATGATAATGATGATGATGATGATGATGATGATGACGATGATGATTGAGAAAAATGGTCATGATGATGGTAATGATCAGGATGATTTCATAACAAAAAAGAGATGAAATGTGCAAGTCAAGATACTAAAAAATGATTCAAGGTGTGTATTTACCAGGTACAGACACTTCGCATACGAAAGCCTTCGCTTCCAGACAATTTTTGTCAGCCCAGCCACCGAAGTAATTTTGTTTGGTATGTACGATGCAGTTCTCCGACCTGCCGCCATTAGGTTCTTCTTCCAGCCACTCTGAGAATGGAATTGAGGACCCATCGACCCACACGTAGCGACCCTCCTTTGCAGGATCATGTAGTCCAATCCACGCTTCAGGTACTTTTGATTCTTTAAGTATTGAAAAAAATCGAAACTGAATCAACGTTACTTAACAATTAAGTCTCGCAAAAGTTTACTTAAAAGGTATCCACTATGGGCTGTTACCTGTCATCAAGTTAAGAACCAAATCTGATTCCTCTTTGCTTTGTAAAGACGCCAGTGTCCCATTATCAAGAGCACAGCCGTACAGAGCGTCTTCCCAGTTGAGTGGTGTGGTTTTAAGAGAGAAGCAGGATCTACTGCTCTGTGGGAGTTTAGCGTAACCTTCAGGACAGGTGGCTTGAAAAAAAAAAGACGAAAAGAAAGGAAAACACCAATTCTTTAGTTGTGAGATTTCGCTTGCTGTAACATGTTCTTCATTTCTGGAGGGAGGCGATCATTACAGAAAAAGGTACGAAAGTGAACATGATCCTCGTTGATGAATAAACAACCTGAGCGGCGATTGAAAACGAACCTGAAAAGTTTTAAGCATGACCGGGAATAGAAACCCTGACCTTAACGATGAGCGTTGCGTCCGGCAATCGCAAAGGTCGGGATTCGATTCCCGGTCAAGCCTGATCTTTTTCAGATTCTTCTTCAACCGCTTACTTTGTTCATTCAACTGAGAGAATCACGTTCACTTTCACATCTTTATCCGTAGTTTAAAATATCAACTACTTATTTCTTTAGAATAGTACCTTGTGTTGTTTAGCTAGAAAGATATTTTGACTGTCCTATACAGTTCTAGCTTAATGCAAGCTTTTATCAGTTGAAATCCTCCAAGAATGGATTGCTTTTTGTACATTATTATGTATTCATTTACTACAAAATGAAAACTGGTCAAATGGGTAGGAACAAAGCGGTCGGTTGGGACACGCTTTCACATCGGTCATTTGAGAGAAATTGCTCAGAATTTATTTATTGAACTTTACACATGCCTTTTTGAATGTATTAACGTATTTTTTTGTCGATAAAATTATAATTTGTGCATCGATGAACTAATTCCAGCTTAGTTTAGAATACACGAAGGTTTACCTTTAGACAATATACCGTTCCACGTATATTTTTTTAATTTCTTTGACATAGACCAGTTAGGAAAAATCCATTGACACCATAGGAAATATTGCCTTAGTGAAATTGCCAAGTTTGAAAGTGAAACGCCTTAAACAAGCAAAGATGTAGCTCTGCAATGTTGTGAAAGTTTACAGACGTTTGTATTGGGGGGGGGGGAGACGGAAGGTGGAGGGCAAGTTGGTACCCAAACAATACAAACGTTTGTAAAATCTCTTGACTTTTAAGGATCTTTATCTTTGATGTAGTTTTCAGCAAATCACCCTTAAACTTGGCAATTTTACTAACTTTTTAAAAAGGCCCTACTCCCAGCTCCCAGGCGAGTCGACGGATTTTCACCAACTTGTCCACGTCAAAACTTAAAACAACCGTGGAATAGTCCATTCTCCTTCAATGTGATCACCGTGCAGTAAGCACTCAACTCTAAAAGAGTTTTTGAAATCTGTTTAGACGTGCTTTTCTAACGAATCTTTTTTGTACTTTAATGGGTTCCATATTATACGGAATCATTTAAAAACAATACACACATTGTAGTAAATGGACCTTGTCAGTTATAAATTTTTGACCTGTTATATAATAGACAATCTGAATCAATTTGGGCTTCTGGGAAACTGCCCACCTACCCCTCCCCTAAGCTACCATTAACACTTACTTCTCACTGTGGGTAAAATGATGGCTTAGGGGAGGTGTAGGTGGACAGTTTCCCAGAAAGATAAATTAAGACGACAATCTTCTAATAATAACAAATAAGTTCACTACCCAAAATCGAATCGGGCCTTTCGTATGTTAGTCTCTTAACCCGCAGCGGTAAACTTTCACACCATACCGCCATAAATTGGAAAAAAAATTGAGTACGCAATATATAAAACTGTCTTCCAAACCTGATATATGTGTAGCACGTGGCCCTAACGTTCGCTTTCCCTAAATTTCAACGTAAATCCAACTTGGGCTTAATTTTCAATATTTTTAAGACTAATAAGAACTCTTACTTTTTTCAGCTTCTGTATTTCGCTTGTTGCACGTGTTGTTGTTGTTGTTGCTATTTTTGCTGTATTTATACTTAATTTAGGATTAAGTACGTTTTTCACGACTAAAGGTTTGTTTACCAAAGGTGAAATCAGCTGTTAAAGATAGAAATGACCCGTCTAGCAAAGGGAAATAAGCTCCTTAATACCAATATACCAATTTCAGTCGATATAAACACGTACCTTGTGGCGCAGGTTCAGATATTCCTAAAAATAAATGAAAGTTTAAGCCTCACGGACACATTTGAAAATGATAATAACCATTAATTTATATCTAAACGCTCAGGTTCTTATTTGTGCAGGAGAGGTCGTATGTCAAGTGCTTCAGCCTCAAATAGCTGACTATTAGGTACTGCTTTTCTTAGTTTGAAATCTCTGGTGGTTTATCGTTCCTTTTTTCTGAACTAAAAGAATAATTTGACCTGGAGACCCATACAAGTTCAGCATTGAATTTCATGTCAATTTTATGCCTCATCGATGGAAGAGCATTTCGATTGTTTTGGTGGTGCTTTGACTTAGAGAGCGAGGTCGCTGGTACAAATTCGTGCGCGAAATCGTTTTCTTCGCTGTGTTTCGCTATGAGTTATTACTGTACTAAAATTATCTTGGTTCCTTACAAGTTCAGTTCCAGTTCCAACGTAAGAGTTAATATGGCATTAAAACTCTGAACGTGGCCGTGGGGGCGTTAGAAATTGTAGGCAATTAAAAACTTTGCAAGTAAACACAGCTATAGATAGAATTGAACTAAATGTTGTTTATAGAGGCTATAGAAATTGTTAGCAGCAGAAGATTTGCACTGAATTAAACAGACATAAAAGGGCTAAAATGTAAAAGTCTGGGATTCATCACTATTTGCCAACTTACCTGTTGCTGGAAGAACGTTTTCCTTAATATTCTCTTTCGCATCCTGTCCAGGATTAAATAACACAACAACGTAATATTTGCCACCGACATTGTTCCTTTTGATGCCTCCTCCCTTGGCGAACCCAACTCCAGCTTCTGTGTTCTTTTTCCAAACCAGCTGAGTGAATGGCGATGATTTTGGTGTCAACTTAGGCTCAGCCCAGTCAAAATATTGGACGGCACCATACCACTTTACCACGCATGCCTTTGCAATGTTGCTTCCGCTGCTGTGGCTACAAACCAACTGTCCATATGGGGAAGTGGGATCGATCTTTTCTGTTCCTGCTGCAGCGATTTTCTTTGCCCACTGGTCTGCTATCTGGGATAGTTTCTCTGAGTTATCCACATCGGTACACCCGTGATTATGTCGGAATCCATTGATTCTTATGATTACTTCCATTTTTATGTTAACTGGAACAAATCGTAAAGGATTATGAACCGGAATTTAAGAATTCTGATAACGACAGGTGGATTTTACTTACTTAGTATAATCCAATCAAAGTAAATCAATAAGCTAACTTAATTAAATCTAAAAAATACTCCCTGTAACCGACACCTTTCCCCGCAATAGATACTATACGCTCAATCAAATTGCCAATCTCTGTTCTCTTCAAATTACATACGCGCCAAAACAGCACCCGCCAGGAAACAATACTTCTGATTTTACGTTCCGGACCCGGTGCATTCCCCGCTTCATCAATGTCCCCGCCAGATGGGCTTAGGGAAACAAAGAACACTGTACTAAACTATTCCTAGGGGTGGAGAGACCTCACTTTTATGGAAGGTGACGTAGTATATGAAGGGATCCCTATGTAGCTCACTTAAATTCTCCAAAGTTAGTTTTAGCCAACCCACGAAAATACTAAATAACGGAGCATAGTCCTTGGTAAGGGTGTTATTGATCGATGTTCACATCAATTCGAAATTCAGAAGGTCATAAAAAGTAGCATGAATTACAGCCTGTTAAAGTATATCGGATTAAAAACATAAAAGACCTGCCACGATTTATGATCAAGTACCACAATAAGTAATTCTACGCGCTCTTTTTTTTTTCGTATAATACACTTAACGTCGAAACTTTCTTTCGGAAGATAGTGTTGGCTGAGATGGGCAATGAACACTGTCTTTGTGAGACCTTCGTGGAAAAAAATGGTGTATATTTCCTTATGTATTGTTCATGACATTTTTTCAGTCGAAATTTTACTTTACCAGGAACAGGGGCTGCAGGAACTCCAGAGGTGCCAGCAGGTCCACTTGTGCGTGGTGTTGATGTTGGCGTCGCGGTGGGCGTAGATCTGGGCCCTGTACCAGTGGTAGGAGCACCAGTTTTAGTAGTGGGCATTGTCTTGGTACCTGCTGAGGTGCCAGTAGGGGCACTGGTGCGTTGCGTTGATGTTGGAGTGGCGGTGGGCGTAGATCTGGGCCCTGTACCAGTGGTAGGAGCACCAGTTTGAGTAGTGGGCATTGTCTTGGTACCTGCTGAGGTGCCAGTAGGGGCACTGGTGCGTTGCGTTGATGTTGGCGTGGCGGTGGGCATAGATCTGGGCCCTGTACCAGTGGTAGGAGCACCAGTTTGAGTAGTGGGTATTGTCTTGGTACCTGCTGAGGTACCAGTAGGGGCACTGGTGCGTTGCGTTGATGTTGGCGTGGCGGTGGGCGTAGATCTGGGCCCTGTACCAGTGGTAGGAGCACCAGTTTGAGTAGTGGGTATTGTCTTGGTACCTGCTGAGGTGCCAGTAGGGGCACTGGTGCGTTGCGTTGATGTTGGCGTGGCGGTGGGCGTAGATCTGGGTTTCGTACCAGTGGTAGGAGCACCAGTTTTAGTAGTGGGCATTGTTTTGGTACCTGCTGAGGTGCCAGTAGGGGCACTGGTGCGTTGCGTTGATGTTGGAGTGGCGGTGGGCGTAGATCTGGGCTCCGTACCAGTGGTAGGAGCACCAGTTTTAGTAGTGGGCATTGTCTTGGTACCTGCTGAGGTGCCAGTAGGGGCACTGGTGCGTTGCGTTGACGTTGGCGTGGCGGTAGGCGTAGATCTGGGCTCTGTACCAGTGGTAGGAGCACCAGTTTTAGTAGTGGGCATTGTCTTGGTACCTGCTGAGGTGCCAGTAGGGGCACTGGTGCGTTGCGTTGATGTTGGCGTGGCGGTGGGCATAGATCTGGGCCCTGTACCAGTGGTAGGAGCACCAGTTTGAGTAGTGGGCATTGTCTTGGTACCTGCTGAGGTGCCAGTAGGGGCACTGGTGCGTTGCGTTGATGTTGGCGTGGCGGTGGGCATAGATCTGGGCTTCGTACCAGTGGTAGGAGCACCAGTTTGAGTAGTGGGTATTGTCTTGGTACCTGCTGAGGTGCCAGTAGGGGCACTGGTGCGTTGCGTTGATGTTGGCGTGGCAGTGGGAGTAGATCTGGGCTCCGTAGCGGTTGTAGGAGCACCAGTTTTAGTAGTGGGTATTGTCTTGGTACCTGCTGAGGTGCCAGTAGGGGCACTAGTGCGTTGGGTTGATGTTGGCGTGGCGGTGGGGGCTGAAATGAAAATATGCTGCACATTAATAAATGCTTAACTTTGCTTTAGGAATCCTTAGCCTTAGAAACATTTTTGCAATGCCAATGTCAATATTTTTCATAGCGGAGCTTTTGTGAGCGTAGCGGTGGAGCCCCGTGGATAAGAAAATTTGCTTATCTATGCGTCAAAGAAATTTCGATTCTGACAAAATCATCTGTAGGTACCTACGTCCACCCTCCCTCCCCCGCCCCTCCTGTAATCCGCACGTTTTGGTGGTAAATCAGATGGCCACCCGGACTTTCAGAGAGAAAAAACAACAACAAAGCCGATATGCCTGTTTTTCGACTAAATTTTAGTGTCTACACGTGCCTGGAATGAGAACAGATTAAGAGCTAGAGCGATAGGAAGGAAAGGAAGGTAGGAAGACACGAAAATTTATGGCACTTCCCACTCCCAAGGGTCACATCTCGGCTTTCATGATTCTCGTTTGAGCATGGTCCTCAATACAGTGTACCAAAAGTGAAAACGTTCAAATCAATCCCATTCAGAGAGCGGACAATTGACTAAATGGTATAGGTAAAAGCTACATGTATTAACTACAACACAGTCTTACTTACTTGTCATAGGCACTTCTTCCTCGACTGTAAAAGGGAAGATAAAACGAAAACATTAAAAACAAACATAAACTAATAGCTTATGATTGCAAATCTAGAAATTGTAATAACAAATGATTGACTAACGAATAGTCATGTTCAGAAATGGCTCAATTCGCTCAATGAACAAGGTCCTTGAACAATGGTCAGGAGATTATTAACATCCTATTCGATGTTTTAGTGGATAGTACGCAACGGGCGAGGAAACAAACTCTGCTTTACAAAATTACACATAGATAAATAAGACGGAATCCACCAGGAAACTGAGTAATTTTAATTTTCAGTGGACAAAAAACTTGTACCAGAATAATCAAATTTCACAACAGTTGTGAAAACACAGGAACAATTCTGAAAATTTCATGTGTAAGATGTAATTTTGTAAACTGTTTGACATTCATTTTCTCGGGCTGCCATAAGAGATTTTTTTTGGTGTTATTGCAGATAACTAATAACATCTTTAGCTCTTGAAAAATGTAAAAACAGTATGCAATATTCTTTAAATTATTCTGGTCCAAGGTTTTCGTCCACTGAAAATTAAAATAACTCAATTTCCTGACGGATTCCATCTAAATAACTCAAACGAGTTTGATTATTCCGTTTTGCTCTTACTTTCACAGTGGAGTCCTGTATATCGCCATGGACAAACACAACGGTAACTGCTGGGTTCATCAGCGTCAATTTTACATGTTCCTCCATTTCTGCATGGGTTGGTATTACACGCTGTTGTGGAAAAAGTAACCGAATTATTTTACACACCCGGATCACAAGAATATGAGGAAACATGTAAACATTTTCCTGTGTAAGTATACTGGGAGTTATGAAAACCGGGTTAGCAAACATTTTGTAATTTTTCTCAACTTCCCCTGTCTAATAGCTTGTTTACTATGTTGTTTGCTTTGTACTTTTTTTCCGGGGGGGGGCTTGTTTTGTAGTTAGGGATTTGTGTAGAAGTAGATGTAGACAGAATTACTATCTCCCCCCCTCCCTCCCCACTCCCAATTTTTCGGCCTTTTTTCGTCCCTACCCGCAATTCTCTCTTAAACACAAGTGACAGTTATTTAAAGTCAGTACGCCCCTATGACATCGCAACCTGGGTCAATGATCTTATTGACCCCCACATACAATGTTCAAAAACCTATTCCTTAACAACATTGGAAGAAAAGAAAAGAAGAATCATTGGCAAGTGACCCAGCTTAAGTGTCACAGATAAATTATTTACGTTCTTCCACCTTATAAGAGAAGAAGAACAAGTAAATGTGCCGCCTTGTGGAAAATGTTTCTCAGAACTTGTTCTTGCAGTGTAGATCTTGCCGAATCGGTACACTGGAGTGGTTAACCAAAGTAAATTTTCAAGATTCGGTTACACAGCCACGTATCACGTGTTATTTCGCACGTGCTATCATTATGACGGTCAACTTCTAATTAGTTTTATTGCAAATTATTGCTATGTGAAAGGCCAATTTTGGGTCTTTCGATGGAGGTATACCTTTGCTAGTACAGTCTAGTTTTTCTACGTTTTGCTAAAGCTTTCTGTTATTTGATCTTTCACGGCTTAACGGACGGTTAACCATTTTCCAAGATGAAAAATGTCAACATAGATTAATTTTTATGTCACGGTAAACCACCAAATAGTTTGTTGTCCAAAAGGAAAAGAACAATTTTCGGCTTAAAAAGTCCATTTTCTAAACTACACACGTTCTCTGTTTTAACATCATAAACTTTATATTTCCGCCATTTTTATTTTATTTTTTATGAGGCTTTGAAATGGTTAACCGTCTCACAGATCTTTATTTCCGCATGGTGTTGATAGGTATCTGATCGCGTGGTTGAACTGCGGTTTCGCCAAAATATTCTGTGCCAGTCATAAAAGCGTTTCGTTGGTGTTTAGCTTTGCTGATTGTACCTTCAAAAAGCAACTCTCGAATCAGGAAAATTGGGTCTAGGTCTAGTTTCAGCGGGCTAATGGCATCGAACCATAGACCAGTTTTTCCAGACAAGAAGGTGATAATTTGTGTACTATGTTTAATTCAGTTTGTTAACTATTCCACGCGAAATGCTGTCGTTTATCGGACCGAGAAAAAAGTAGTGTTTTGCTGACTATTTCAGTTGTTATGTAAGCCTTAACCAGGCACTCTTTCGTTGGAATTCACCCATTTGAAACTTCACGAAGTCAGATTACTAAATAAATGTTCTAAAATTGGCGTCATTTTAAATGAGGACTCGTTGCAATGTTTCTAGGGGGCCATTAACTTACTGCCCGGCGTCAGATAAAGGCTTTTAATCGGCCTAATGAGCTTTATTGTTTTAAATTGCCAAGTAGTATAATGAGTTGTTATTTTTGCCAACCCGGTTTTCAAAAATCCAGGTATAAGTGTTTGTGGGATAAAAAACTTTTATTTCCTTTTTGAGGAGATGTCGATCACTAACGCTATTTTTGAAGACATTTTTTTTCTTTTTTATATCTCTTCATGTCTCTTTGTTTACATATATGCGTTATTGACCAAACGTAATTTCAAAACGGTTTGATATTTGCCAAGTTCTTTCATTCACTTTTTATTGATCGAGATGAAGTCGTGGTGCCAAAAAAGAAAGAGTCTATAATTCAGCTACCTTGACTGAACAAGCCTTGGTCAGTAAAAGTTAGGTTATATGGCCAACCATGTATTGCCCGCTCGGGTAGCCATTCAAAACACAGGATTTGGTGCCTCATCTTGCCCGCCCGCTGAGCAAACAATAAAATAATAAATATTTCGGTTTGCAATAACGTACTATTGAACATATATTATTGTTATGATGATGATGATGATGATGATGATGATGATGATGTACAGTTCAACTCAGTTTTGCTAGTCAACCGGAAAAACTACTTTCAAAGAAATTTTTAACCAGCTCTGGCAGCTGGTTAAAGCTAATAACCGGGGGTCACAAGGATCTGGCCTGAGTGAAGGTGGATTTTACACAATGTTTACACACCAACTAGGCACTTAATTGACAAGCGCATGCTCACCTTGCAAATTAGCTGCCACTCCTTCTCTTAGCGGGACTCCACCACCTGTCGGTCAAATAACAATCAATGGCGTTGTTTCATGATAGACACCTTAAGCAACAAAGATGACGACGGCAGTAAAAACACTGTTAAGATAATGGCATCGTTTTATTTTAAAGTTTATAGTAATCATTATTAGAAATCATGGCTTAATCTTTCAAATGAAGAAAAACTTTCGCCGCGCCGTTTCTCCCGACCCGACTGACTGCCCCTGCGTTTCCGAGGATGTCTTTTCCTGAGTTTAATTCTTAGGGGCAGCGTAAGAAAGAGAAATATTCAACATTGCGCGTTGACGTCCTCCAGAAGACCCAGTCAACACGAATTGTGACCAAAGAAAAATTCGCCAAGCGAATCAAATGATAATGAAAGGGACCTGACCACTATTAGGCACGAATCGAACTGTCCTTCTCTCCGGCCAGAACCAGTAAATCCACTCCTTCATCCGCGGCCTAAACGTATAAATAATAGGCGGGTTCAAAACATCCGGATTCGTTTGGACGGGGCCTTCTGGAGGACGTCCGCAGGGGCACCCAATGGATCTGTTCCTCGAAATATCTGTTCTTCAGCCAATTCGTCGCTGGCTGGGAGGTTTGGGAAAAACAATTTGTCCTTGGAAGGAAAGTGTTGCCAGGAATAGACACTTCAGGGTGTTTTGAGGGGATTTGGTGTGTAGTGTCTATAATAGCTGGTATGTGCTATTCAGTGTCAGAAACCTCTTCCCCTTCCCGCTCCCCAATGAAGTCAGTGAATTTCGCCTTCAGGCCATACCCAATTTTCTAGCGGGGCCGCCTTCCCCCGCCTCCTCCCCCTTCACTGAAGGGCTGAAGTTTGCCCTATGACCACACCTAAACTAGCCAGTAATGTCTGGACATACGTCTGCTGGGAAAATTCCCAGTAAGTCAGGTTGCAGGTTGTAGGTGCACCTTGCTGGCTGGCAATTCTTCCATTAGTCTTGCTGGGGGTGAGGAACAGATAAATTTTTTCCAGCAATCACCCTAAATGCTTAAAATGGCTTCAGAAAGCTTTATTCATACTTTGTTGTTATTTTTAGGTCTTGTTTTCCGTGATCTGGCCATGTCGCGTTTGAGTCTCCCTTACTTCACGCTATTTGTTATCTTTTTAAAAAGCTAAAACTTGTCTTTGCGTCAATTGAATTCCAAACATAATGGCCCAGTTTTGTTTCTTAAGACTATCTTTAGGTATTGAAAATGTTTCCTCTCGTATGTTTTAACGGATGACGAAGATGGCAATGAATTGAAACTTAATAGTTGAACCAGCATTTTTCAAGTTTTAATGTTATGCCTGCAAAAATATCCAAACAATCGTTCTCGGGTTATTAATCCCTAATGAAATATATTTGATATCCTTTCATATCTCCACAGGAGCATTTTTTGTACGGGACCAAGGCCCTAAGTAACGACGTTAGCACACCAAGAATTGAGCTAAAACGGCAATTATATCCTCGCAACATACCCCTTTAAGGTGGCTGAACACAGTTTTGCGGGCGGTCAGCAGTAACTCGCTTGACGGCGTGTGTTTTAAATTACACAAACAAACATGGCGGCAAAAAAAGCAGTGGTACAAAGAAGATGATTTCTCAAAATCTACTCGTTAAAATTTTGTAATATTTGGCAGAACTTTTACTTTTATCGTATTTTGAATAATGAGAACGTAAAAATGGAATTTGAACAGACGAATTTTGTGACACATTTAATAATTACAGTACAACTATATTATTGATTATCTAGAAACCCGTCTGTTAAAGTTTGGTCAAATAAGTTTCAAATGGTAATGATTACTTATAGTAAGCTGTGTGCAAGTTTATAGGAAAAGACGTTTTATAATAATATATCACGTTGTGTTTTCAATAATGGTTTTTCCACCCCCTCTTTCAATGTTAAACGGGGTGTTCGCCAGGGCGACCCACTCTCGCCATCTCTTTTCATAATAGTACTTGAATTATTGGCATTATCCATACGTAATAACGATCAAATTAAGGGTATTGAGGTGGATGGTTCCGAAATCAAATTAGTTATATTCGCTGATGATATGACATCATTTGTTAGGGACAAATTTTCGCATCGCACCCTCTTTGATACTATCGATCTGTTTAGTACATACTCCGGATTGAAGGTCAATCACGACAAAACGGAAATTCTTCTACTAGGAAATATGGAAGTAAACAGCTCAGAACTAGGTGTTAATGAAATAAGTAAGGCCATAAAGATCCTAGGGGTTCATTTCACCTTTAATCACGCACTGTTTTATAAGCTTAACTTTGAATCAATCGAGAAATCTCTGAGAGGATTGCTGAAGGGCTGGAGATGGAGAGGTCTTACACTACTTGGAAAAATTCAAGTGATCAAGTCTTTCGCCATACCAAAGATTTTATACAGGGTTGTTCTCATTTCAAATAAAGAAGAGTTTATCAAAAAAATAAATACTTTGCTATATTCCTTTGTTTGGAAGGGAAAAGATAAAGTAAAGCGCAGAGCTTTTATTAACCCTATTGATAAAGGAGGCTTGAAAATGCCCAACATTGAGTCAATGATCTCTGCCCAAAGAATAATTTGTATTAAGAGATATCTCTCCATGGATCCCGCTGGCTGGAAGTTTTTTCTGAATTTTTATCTTAAGAAAGTAGGGGGAAAATTCTTGTTTCATTGCAATTTTAACTAAACTACCGGTAACTCTTCCAGAATTTTACAAAGAATGCATTGTGGCGTGGACCCTTTTAAATGAAGACAACCCCTCCTCATCCTCTGAAATAGCAAATGAGGTCATATGGAACAACCAGTTCATTTGCATTGAATCAAAGTCAGTCTATAACAGTAGGCTGATTGATCTTGGAATTGTAAAAATTGGAGACCTCTACGACACGTGGGGAGGTTTCAAGTCGAACAAGGAACCATTATATTCAACTCTTTCACCAGTTGAACATTTTCTACTTTTCAGTCTCTTCAATGCTTTTCCGGAAGAATGGCGCAAAATATTAAAAACAAATAAAAACTCTATCTCTTCAAAAACTCATGATCTAATCCAAACTGATTTCAAGTTACGTATTGAAGGGAAAAAAGTCAATTTCCAAAATCTTAAATCAAAGTCATTATATGACAGTTTTGTTTCTAAGATATCCAGTATACCAACAGCGCAAAAGAAATATAACGAGGCTTTCAGCACACACACATTTCAGTTGGACTGGGAAAAGATATATCTACTGCCCTTCAAAACAACATTGGATACTAAATTAAGAGAATTCCAATATAAAATATTAAACAGGATCTTATACACGAACAAGATGCTGTTTAAGTTCAAAAAGTAGATTCTCCCTTGTGCGATTTTTTGTGAAAAGGAGTTGGAGACCATAGAACATCTCTTTTTCCATTGTACAAAAGTAAGCATGTTTTGGAATGATTTAAAGTCTGTACTTGATTCTTTTAATATAACTATTAGGTTTGATATCATGAATGTCCTTTTTGGGATCTTAGATACAGATAATATAAGCATTCTAGTCAATTACATCATTCTTGAAAGCAAATATTTTATTTACCGCTGTAAGTTAAATAAGGGCTGTTTATGTGTAAGACTGTTAGTCGATAAATTTAAACAAACGTTTCAAACCGAACGTTTTATCGCGTAAAGAAACAACAAAATCCATTTCCATGATAAAAAATGGAAGCCGTTACTCCCATTAATACAACAGTAGCTGTTATCCAAACTTCGTTTTTCTAATACTCCCTGTATTACTCTGTATTTTAAGTTCAAGTCGAATAAGTTATGTAAGCCTTGTAGTGTAGTGCAGTGTAGCTTTTTATTTATTTATTCTATTTTCTTTTTTTTTTTTTTGTAATTAAGGTAGTTGTTGTAAATTTTGTAATGTTTGTATGTTTCGATTTGTATGTTGTTTGTACTATACCTGTAAAAAGAAAATAAATAAATAAAAACAAAAAAAAAAAAAAAAAAAAAGTTTATAGGAAAATCTAATGAGCGAATTTTATGTAAACTGAGCAAAAGTGAAATTTTAAGGTTGTATTCAATCGTTACCTGTCAATCAAAATCTTTCATCAGTATATTTTTCACTTGCCAAGTTTCAGCTTGTGAGCTGCAACCTTTCTCTTGCCATTATTCGGCAAATGAGATATACTCACAAACTGCCAAAACTGTGTTCAGCCACCTTAACCAAATTAGTAACGAAATACCAACAATACCCACACCACAACAGGCAGCAGTCAGTAAGGACACAGTTGGCTCCGAAGAAAAATATGATCACTCTCAATATGAAGTCGAACCTACCTCGGCCGGATCAACACTCGGGGTCTTTAAATAACTAAGAAGCAAGACTGCCCTTGTAATGACATCTGCAAACGGTTAATTATATACTTTCTAGTCTTCTCGGATAAGGATGAAAAAAACCGTGGGTCCAACAATTACACATCTCTGGTTCTTGTGGGGCGTAAAAAAGACCCACATCACCGTCTGAAAACGTAGACCTCGGACGTAGACCCCGGTGGTATGCCAACCTTCACACATCATTCACATCATGGCTTGGGTGCGTACACTAAGCTCATAAGTGGACTGATAGCGACTGCCATTGGCGCCCTTTGTATGTTGACGTCTGACTTTACTGTTAAAATGTTAGTTTATATTAGAGACCTTTAGATTCTAAGACGAGAACGACTACGAGAACGAGATTTTCTCAATACTATGTAGTGCGCGCTCGAGAACCAGCGTTATTTTGGCGGGAAAACGTAATAGAGGTCGTCATTCTTTTACGAGTTTTGGCGGGAGGGTCGTAGTAGACGAAAGGAGTAATCAAATGTTAGAATTTTTATCATTTTGTGATCGGGAGAGGACTTAACCTCCTTTAATATATAAAACAGTGCTAGCGGCTTTCTTGGTGAATCAAAAGAACAATGAGGCTTTCCGGGGAACCTGTTTTTTGATAATACACGAAAAAAAATTTGAAGTTGAATCTCGTACTGGTAGTCATTCTCGTCATCGATTCTAAAGCTCTCTATGGTAAAGAGGGCGTGGCGCCTCGGTTGTCCTGTCAAACACGATTCCTTTCTTTCCTTCTTCCCCAATCACTAGCTTTAGAGATTCATCAAATAAAACCTACCCTCATTAAATGCCTCTTTTATCGTTCTTTCGTTCAGCACTAAACCCCATGTAGCCAACTGGTCAATTTTCATGGGTAGCATCTCTTCCATTCTGTTGTTGCTGTTTGGTTTACTTATCGTAAAGTCGTTGAACTCGTCTAAATGCCAAACAGGCGCTTGGATAACCTCACTTTTTTTTAAACCCGCTATTCCGTTGACGAAATATCTTATTCCGGATTCTGAAATATAAAAGACAAAGCAAACCGATCATAATTACAAAATATACCTTAAATGCTGACACTGATATTGGATGTCCGGATGATTTCTTGGACGTAAAAAATATGCTAATTATGCCTCGTTCTCTTGAACATTTACTACATGTATTCAACATCCCGGATGGAACTCATCGAAGCTTTTTTCGGAAAGGCTGTGCCCTAAGGTCCAACGCCTAAGTCTTTTATATAGCATGTTTCACCAATATAGGTACCCCTTTCAGATACCTTCTACTGACAAATGGTGTCCCTTTCAAAACCTAGTTTAGATTACTGCATCCCTTTAATCCCTCCCTCTTAAAATGTATTCCTCTTATCATACTACCACATGAGAAATTTCTGCAATTTGATTGGCTTAGAGCAGTGGTATTTCAGCTTAATTTGAAATACCTACATTTGAAAATTACAAACCGTCTTTTGTGGGTAGTAGTATAGACAAATAATAGCACGATTTGTACGTGATATTTGGCATAAATACCACTTGTGATATTTCAAAATCGTCTCAAATTTCACTCGCCTAACGACTCGTGAAATTACGTATAGCAATTTTGAATAATCACTCGTGGTATTTAAGCCAAATATCACTACAAATCATGCTATTACCTATACAAATATATCAGTTCCTGTATGGAGCGTCCTCACACTGCCTGCCTCGAATAGCTTTTGCTAAATGTAGGTAGTGTGTATGCTTTATGTATTTCATTGCTAAAATAAAGTTATTGTTGTTGTTTTAACTGCTTTAAATGCTCAGTCTTTTTATGAGCACCAGCGTAGTTAATAGGAATATGAAGCAGGCTCGCGATGTTTGGCGAATATTCTAGCTATGTTATAAAACAAATTTAAAGTCATATGTGAAGGTCAAGGTCATTAAGATATTACATGATCATAGAGACCTTTAAATTCTAAGACGAGGATGACTACGAAAACGAGATTTTCTCAATACTAAGTAGTGCTGGCGCGTGAACCAACGACATTTTGGCGGGAAACTGCAGCACCATTGCCATTCTACTACAAGTCTTAACGAGAATGTCGTCGTGGCGGAAACAAGTTATTAAATGTTCGAAGTTTTATTTTTTTGCAATCAAGAGAGGGGGCTTAACTTCCTTCAATGAAAATAACCGTGTTAACTTTTCTGGTTAAAAAGGGAGCTTTCTAGAGTGTCTATTTTCTTAGAATGCGTAAAAAAATCTTAGGTCAAATTTCGACCTCATAGTCGTCATCATCCTCGAATCTAAATGTCTCTCATCATCATGACACGCACCTTTCTTCCAAGTAAAAGCAAATGAAAACCATTTTCCAAAAGGAATCTGATTTCCAGATATGATTGTTATCCATATTTGGGGACCATCTGCCACTCTTAACGTCCAGTTATTTTCTTCGTAGAAAAAGGAGAATCCTTTGGATCTGCTGTCTGATCCACCACTGGAGATGATCACTTTAGGTACTGACGGGTTGTTCAGAATGTCCGACTCATCAATCCTTCCCCAGAACATCATGGTAATTCCCTTTCTGCAAAAACTGGGGTCACTTATGCACTTCCCTTTTAGAAGAAAAAAACAGAGTAAGAATTTTTTGTCTTCTATTATAGCTTATTATTGATGCTAGCGACGGAAATAAATCCGACGGGTCTAGTTCTCTAAGCAGGAGTGCACCTGTATGGACAATCGCCCTATCGCTAAGAATTCATGGTAGCTAAGGTCATTGAACTATCAGCATAGGTTTATGTAACAAACATTCTGAGCACTGCTAGGCGTCAGGAATGTGGACAGTTGGCTGTGTAAAGAAATGTGATGATAAATGTTAAGCCCGGCGATCGAATATTATACAACTATCCCCCAAAAGGGAAGGCGAATACTGATGGAGACGTTACAGACGTAACGTATTGAGGTATATATCTAGCGCTTTGCACCACCCCTGACGACAGCAATTCGACCTTTGTAACTTTTCAATAAATATGAAAAACAAGTAATTTTACTTTGTATAAGGCGTCACTTGCAAAAAGTGTTTAAAGATATTTTTGATATTTTTTTAGGGATTTCATTAGCTGAGAAGTCACGTTTATAAATAATTAAATGAAATGTTTCCTTTTTACGGAATGGTTTCAAATACAGTGTATTTTACAACTGCTTCAAAAATAGTTAAAATTGTCTTCCTAAAATGAACGGCTAAACTAACACCTTGGAAGTGTTTTTTCTGATTTATCGGCAAGAAAATTGACGATTCATCTCGGTCACAAATGCCCGCTGAAAATTGTAATCGTTGGCAGCAATCAATGAGACATTTCACAAAAATCGTCTGTTCCCGAAAAAAACACAATTATCTCAGTTGTTTTAGCTTTGTCTGTTTAATATGCTCAAAAACAATTGAAAAAGTTTCTTGTTTACAAATCACTTGTTTTTAACGTCTTGCCTTTTTGATTTGCCTTTTGTAAATAATTAAATGAAAGTCCTTTTTGAATGGATCAAATACAGAAATCATTCTCACCTCTTTCTAACGAAATCGGTAATCAGCTAAACTAGCTACCTCAAAAGTTTTCTATTGAATAATTGTTATTTATCCTAAAACGAGACGCCATTTTAACTCCTAACCCAAAAGAGTGACGGGAGTCAATGAAAACGCGCGAAAAAATGCTATCCATTGAGTGAAAAAAACATATTCTAAATGAGAATGATCAGTCCTATCACAAACAGGACTTCGGAAAAACATTACAAAAGGCAAATAAAAAGGCAGTACTATAAAAACAGGTGATTGTTGTTGTTTTTTTTTTTGGAAGAAAATTCATTAAACACGAACAGTGAGTGCATTTGGTGACATTATTATTAAAACACGTGAGATATACACTGCAGATTAGGAATTAGAACTAGAGGCTTGTAAACGAGCGTGATGACCTAAATGCAACGACTAGAGTGTAATATACTTTTCTTGTTTACGAACTGAATCTCACAGTATTTGCACCTGACCATCAGAAATATCGCGTTTTCTAACTTACTGCGGACATTACGGATACAAAATGACTAGATAGTGTTACAATTTCTGTGGAAACTGTAATTACAAAAAGGCACAAGAAAAACGACAGATATTAAAAGTAAATTTATATGACAAGCTTCATGCATACAAGAGACAGTTTTACCTGTCAAATCTCCGAGATCAATCCAGCTCCCCCTCTCATACGTACTGGCCACTTTTCCTCTTGATACGGAATCAGCTATTCGAGCACCGTCCTGAATATAAAACACACCAAGGAAGTTAATTCTATCTAGCAATTACAGTCGGAGCTCTCATGAGATAGCATGCGGTATCTGAGCAAGATCGGTATCCGAGCAAGTCACTTGCCTAATTTATAGAGAGCGGTTTTACTGCGTATCCTGACGTTATTTCTGTCCGCCCGTTCCTGATGTCAAACAGAGACGATAATGGGGCGCTTAACGACGACCGTATTGAGCACCTTTTTTCATCCTTTTAAGGAAAGAATGAGGGGAGGTAAGGATGTTGTAGGCTAAGGCCCCCACCAATGAAAAGATGTCTAACTTTAAAAAAAAAACCCTTCAGCTACAAGGAAAAAAAGCACTGTTTCTTTCTTTAAATCTTCAGGTGAACCATTTTTAATATTTGACGTACATGTATTCGCCAAATTTGTACCTTGCTACGCAGGCGCTTTCGAGGACGCGTGCGCGTGCGCACGTTGTATAAAACCTAACAAAGAAACATTACCAAATTTGACGTTTACATGGACCTTAAACATGAGGCTATTATTCCAAATATCACATCCGACCGGCACTTGCCTTCAACATGGCAGGAAAACCTCCTCTTAAATCAGGAGATTTGTTGAAATCGACTTCCCTGTTAAACGGCCAACAGTGAGCTGCCTTTTTGAATATACCACCACCACCACCCTGAACTGGAAAAAAAAAGGGAAACGAGGCACTTATATGACCTGCCTCTAAAGCTTTCGGGAAGCCTCATAATAAAAGAACATTTGCTCATTTTAACTGGGTGAATAAAACTTGAAATCATTTAGTGTTTATATATAGAGCGGTTTTCACTTGACAGTCGAAAGGGATTGGTTTTGGTCTTGGTTTTGGTTTTACTACGCCCTTTGGTTGGCTAATGTATTTACTTTGGTTTTGGTTTTACGACAGTCAAGTGAAAACCGCTCTATACTCTAAGTGTGAATTTAGTTCGTCGCATGATTCATACGAACAGTTTTCTTTTTCGAAGAGACAAATAAACTCTGCAGTGTCGGATCCAGACCTTGAGATAAAGGGGTTGGTCATCCAGACCCTTAGACAGCGGAGGGGAGCGGTCTCCAAAAAATTTTTTTCGGCTCTTTGGGCCTCAGTTTGGTCTAAAAATAAGGGGGCGGGTCCCCCGGCCCCTCCCCTGGATACGCCACTGCTCTGCTAGCAGAGCCTTCCTTTCACTTCCTCAAATTTGGGGTTGTTGAGAAAGATTCTGCATAAATGGAGTTAGATCTTTGTTGGGAATGCGCTGTATGTTGCTAGGACACAGGTTAGAGCGACTAGAGAACTGACAATTTGACTAACAATAGACGACAGTTTAACTGTGACAATAGACGGATCGAAACGCACCAATTACTGATTACGAGTCTTCATAGCCAATAACATCACGGCCTAACTGACAGACGACCAATAATATTGCGACGTAATTGACCAATCAGATCAATAACCAGAGTATAATACCATCAACTGACGTGATACAACTCACTTTGACTCTGAAGATGACCACCGCACAGGTTGTGGAAACGTCAGTCACTGTCAACAACAACAGTCCTATTCAGGACTACGTTCACCCGGACGATCAAACTTAACCTACTTTTGAAATGACTCCTGGGTTCAAACCTTTCACAGTCTAAACGTACAGTATTAAAGATGAACTTAACATCGATGCAGGCCGAAGTATGTTTCAGCTATGTTTTTAAACTAGGAATTATTTTTGAATGAATGATAAATCGGAGAGTGTTATCCACCTCGGCCTTTGGCCTCAGTAGATAACACCCTCCTCGATCTGTTTAATTCTTCATATCCCAATCAGCCTCATTCATTAATTGCTAATTAAAATGTACCAAGGTAATTCTATGATATCCTTTTTAATAATAAGTTGCTAATGGCTCACCTAGTTTTTAAGTGCGTTGCATTCAAACCACTCACTTGAGGCTCGAAGTCCCAGTTCAGTTGACGTTAATTTTATTATAATTACTATGAATAACGTAACAGAAAAACTGAGGAGAGCAGAAACTAAGTATCTAACAGTAGACAGTTATATAAATTCGATCAGTGGATTCAACAGCAATTCTTTCGATACCTGGATAAAGTTCTTTGAATAGAGAGGTCTCTTGGCTAAGGACACAGTCGCAAATGAATTTATACTTTTTCCTGTTGGGTGCTTCTACTTTAACCTGTGAACAACGAACCTACTGTTACTTCAGTTTCATAGATTAGACTTCAAGCACCGAGACACTACATAATTGAATACAGATGAACTGAGTACAACATAATGGTCTAGACGGGATTTACTGTTGATTGTTCTAAACTCATTTTTGTTATTATTAATACTAATAAAAATGCTCCTTTGCACTTTGCAAATTTTATTTAACGACAGAGAGTCCCAAGAAAAATCGCAAAGCATCAAATAGCAAATAAGTATTATAATTATATCAAAAATTTTATCATCACTCTAACTGAATAATTTATACCATCGTAATTACCTCAACCCTGCAATCTAAAACTACAAACTTAATACGCACTAGTAATCAAGAACAAGGGGGTGACCCCGCAGTTAACAAAACTGATAAACCTGTGGCCTTCTTAACGCGCCCAACCAAAAAGGGATTATGTCCAGGTCAATGATTCGAATAAGTTGGTTTTGAAGAGAGGGGAAAATCGTAATACCTGGAAGAATTCCTCTCCGAGCAGAGAAGCGTATCCAACAACAAACAAATAATTTTGTCATGAAAACTTAATCCCTCGCTGAAGGCTAAAGATAATGTAGTTTAAAATTCATAACATTTGTTATTTTTAAGCAACTAATTACTTCTGAAGTGTATCTATTGCACTTGTATGGTACGTCTTCACATGTAATGTCCATTTAATAGAGCTGAAGACTATAGGAAGTAACTCGTAGGGACCTGGGAAAAGCTGCGACCGCTTAATATCGGCTAGTTTTTCAGTTAATGGAAATGATTTTTCGGGACTTAAGAAAGTGACCGCCTTAAAGAGGATGACCCCTTGATGCAGGTCTGCTTAATATAGGTTTGACTCTTTGTTTCTTCTGGATTACACAGATGACGTAAAATTGTTCAGAACTTTGCATCTTGCGGCTCTAGTTTCCTCTTGAGTCTCTGACTTCAACTATTTGGTCTAAGAACAGAAGGTACAAATTGGAAAATGGTTGTCGTAGCTCTTACCTTGTCAAGATTCCAGTCGGACAAAATTCCTTTGTTATTTTTACGAATTTTTATCTTTGTAACGTCACCAACATCTTCTGAATTCAGCTTAAACTTGTCAGTACTGAAAATAAAAAGAAAATAAATAAATAATTCAATCGTTCAAATCCTTAATTTATGCCTTTTAATCCTTAGATTGACATTTCTTTTTATGACATCCCCCAAACAGGCTTTTTATCACTATTAAAAGAGGGTATGAATAGAGGTACATCGATAACACTAAACACTTCATTTTTTGGCTTTGTAACATGAAACAGATAAATTTAAGGCAATATAAGGCTAACTTTAAAAAATTCTTTGAAACAGTAGATTTTTCCCAGAAAGACGCAAAAACGGCTCCAATAAGGCCAATATTATTTTGTTTAGTATGTGAAGGAGTTTTCGGCCATTTTACAACAATTCCGGATTATTTCAGAAGATTTCCGAAGGCTACTGACGATTCCCGAATACTGTCGAAGATTTCCGAAGACTAACGAAGAGGTCCGACCATTGCCAACGATGTCAGAAGAACCTTCGGAAACAGAAAACATTAAAAAATTGGCCAATTTAACAGCAAACACTAAATATTATGGGCAAATAACACTAAACACTAAACCCCATTCAGATCCTCTTAAAAGAGAAAATTGTATACAAGTGTACTATGAGGATTATACCTATGACTGATTTCGGTAAATTCTCGTTCAAAAGAGCTGCATTCACACTAGAGGAGAGAATCCCACAACGAGTAGGAAAACGAACGGCTATTTTCGCAAGCAAGGCGAAAACGAGTGATCAAAACAAGGAGAAGCAGGAACGGGAAATTTCATCAGTAGACAGCTTACGGTCGTTTACGACAAACGGCAAACGGCAAACGGTAGATTTAAGCTCAGAATTTTTCAGACTAAAAAATAAGCAGTAGATTCAACTGACCAGAACGATTCTCATAGATAAAACCGGCGTGAAACTACTCATTTTTGAGTAGATGTAATAAACGGTAAACTAAAATTAAGGTAAAAGCTTGGTCACGTGATACAAATTGGCGTAAACGTGACTCTTAGGGGGCTTTCCAAGTGACCGGCCAGACCATTCCCGTCGTAATCTGAATTTTCTTTTTAATCAACCCTATCCAGCCAGATCGGTTAAACTCTACATAGCTGGCACGAAGGAGATAGTTTTTCAGAAAAAAAAAACTCTTGGAAAAAGCCTATTTCATCGTCCAAACGACTCAGTCTGGCAATGGTCCGCCCGGCCAGTTCTAACTTTTGGAAAGCGCTGTTAATCTCTATAACAACGTTTTGAACACATGTTGGACGTATTTGTCGCCTTGATGGGATTAATTTCTCTTTTGCTCCCGACTTAATTTTAGGCCAAGAGTAGGTTTCGGTCGACACTTGAATTTATATCTAAGGGCATTGCAGTGAAAAAAAAACCACTTCACATATAGATTTAGCCAGGTTAGCAAAGCTTCCATTGAAATTTCCATATAAAAGTGATAAACTTTTTAAAAACTGTAACCTTTAAGCCATAAAAAAGAAATCCGAAAATCTATACTTAACTTTAGGAGCCTTCCATTACCTTTTGAGTGAGGGGTTGGGTGATTTAAGAACACACCTAAAATGAAAAAAATTTTCCATCGGGCTAAAAATCTTATAGATCGTTTTCACTGTCACGCAATAAACACGGCACAAAAAAATACATCGGAAACCGTCCAGTGGAAGACGTCAAGAAATGAATGTTATAGAAGACAGTATATAAACAATTCGTCCAAGACTCAGGTCTTTGTGGCCCACAGTTTCTGAGTTATTGGCCGAGACGTTTCACGCACCTTTGTAGAGGTTTGTATGGAGACGCCATATTGGTGCGCCGTTTTTGCTACATTAATATGGCCGCCGGAAATCAACAAAAATATCTGGAGTTCACTGTTTCTATAAAAGCTCTTTCTTATCCTTCGAGAACTAGCACACGTGCGCATAAACGTATCTTCTAATACTTGGTTATACTGCTGAAAATCAAGAGGAGAGACTTTTTTAACGAGACAACATTCCTATTTTGGTGTCACGCACTGTGAAAACTTCGAAGTTCAAATTGCTGTATTTTCGAAATGAAACATGCTACGGGACTAGAAACTTGTACAAGGATTTATTTTTCGTATTTTGACTTTACAATTTGATCACGTCACCGGGAAAACCATCTATATTTACAAAAAAAAAATAAAAACAAAGTAAATATGAATCAAATTTGATAACAATAGTAGGCTTGTACAAGAATTGTATTGTTCTGACATCACCGAACCCCCCACCCCTCCCCTTTGCGAAGTTTTGAAGGTTACTACTTCTTGGGTCAACCTTTCTGTCTTAAGGGACACTAAATGAAACATTGGGCTGATTTTTGTGTCCTTCTTATCGGTCCCGGACGAACCGTTACGTGTAAAACAGTAAAATCCAACTAGTGGTCTATTATCAATGCTGCGTTCTGATTGGTTGAGCTACCAATTCTCGGCTTGCACTGTCACGCAATGAAAAATGAAAATGCCCGGTGAAAATGCAAACCATTCAATACAGAAGGACTAGAATCTGGGAAATGAAAAAAGATAAAAATACAAAAACCCTTGCCAAGAATCAGGTCTGTGAAATATTTCAAATGCGAGATATTGGGAAAAACGGTTTACCTAAATTTATAAAGCTTTGTATGGAAACGCCATGTTGGTGTCCCTTTCAGGAACACCAATATGGCCGCCGGATACCAACAGAAACATCTGTTTTCGAGTTTTCCTACTAATGCGTGAACTCTTCGCTTGCGGAACTCATAAAGATTACAGAAATATTTATTCTGAGACAAGGAATGTTTAGATTGCAAAATCTTCCAAAATCGGTAATGTTTTTAACCCACATAAGAGCTTTCCCGGCCGCTAGCTAAATGCCGCGTCACGCAAAAGCCTGGAAATTCAAGCGTCCTCTCTCGCAAAACGAAGAACCCTTTCGAACCAAAATTTGTTGATGTAAAGGTGTTTAGGTACTGTAATACCTTGTGAAAGTAGAAACTCAGAAGAATCAATAGTTTCTTAGTTTGATTTTTGGTGACTTCACGTGCAACCCAAGAATAAGGCTATATGTCATAGCCCACCAGTAGCGAAAAGCGCGGGGTTTTGGCGGCAAAAAAAGGAGTAAAAAGTTTAGCTTTAACTAGCTAAAATTTTTTTATTTTTGAAATTTTTGACCAACTAGTTGGATTTTACTAAACAAATTATTCCTCTAGCCCTTATGGTCTCCCAGTCAATAGTCCGTTCGGGCTCGAGGAATAATTGTTAAATATACCTGGATTTTTGAAAACCGGGTTAGCAAAAATATCAACTCATTCTACTAGTTGGCATTTTAAAACGATAAAACTCGTTCGAAGGCCCATTAAAAGCCTTTATCTGACGCCGGGCAGTAAGTTAAAGGTCCCTAGAAGCATTCCAACGAGTCCAAATTTTAGAACATTTATTCAGTAATCTGACTTCGCGAAGTTTCAAACCGCGAAAGAGTTCCTGGTTAAGGCTTACATAACAACTTAAACAGTTAGCAAAACACAACTTTTTTCGCGGTACGATAAGCAACAGGATTTCGCATGAAATAGACAAAAAACTGAATGAAACATAGTGCACAAATTATCACCTTCTTATCTAGCCTGCGTAGCAGGCGCTTGGAAGTAGTGGGCCCAAGAAAAAACGGGCGCGCGAGAAGGAGACACGCGAGGGGAGAGGAAGCGCCTGCACGGAAGGCCCCCGAAAATCGTTTCCCGCCCCCTCTCTAATTACTTGGCAGCCGTTGCGTGATCTGTCAAAAGTTTTGACAGAAAACGACTGACCTCGCACAAACAAAGCAAGCCGCCAAAAAGCGTTGTACATTTTATCTTCGGTCTAAATATATCTGTTATAAAGATCAGTTGGGTTATCTGATTATAGAGCGATGGAGCAATAAACTGATGGTTAACACACAGCTTTAAATCGTTTTTTTCACATGGGCACAATAAATAGGAAATAACAAAGTCAAAACTAGGTATCTTTTAAAGAATGCATGCTGTGTATTATAAAAACTAAAAATATTGTTCTGGTCAGACACCAACGATCACAGGGTACGTGGAAAATGACCATATTGCTTTCACTGCGCTAACTGGCAGCCGTTTTTGGAGCAGACATGTCTTACTAGCGGACCTAAACCTCAGAACACAAACTGTACCGACATGTTTTCTACTGCAGTAATGAGACATAAACAACAGACCTCAGGTCGACTCCGAACGGCGAATAATACAATAGTGAAATGTTTTTTTCAAATTCATGCCCCTGGTAAGTGTTTCATTTCATCAATCTTTATCATGTCCAAGTTTTGATGGTATACGTTCCATCGACAACACAAGCCGCCAAGTTCTCGTGAGCAAAGAATATTTCCTCTGATCTTCATTGCAACGATTCGACAAATCTTTTGTCTTTCGCCACTTCTGTTGATGCGTATCCGATGTCAATTCTTTCCATCGTGAATACCGTTTGAACACTCCACCTTTTCTTTGAGATTACAGCCACATAGTCCCATTAAACCAGAATGAAGTGACCTCCGAGACCTGAACTTCGATTGTATACAACTTAGTGGTTTCAGGACCCAGTGGTGTAATGCAAGATCTTCACTACATTGTCCATGTACTATTGATTGACAGTTTTCTCGCCCCGCGCGGTTAATTTTTCCCTCGGGAGCCTCTCGACCAATTGGAAATATCCGCACTCAGAGAGTGCGAGTTGAAACGATTTTCGGGCGCCTTCCGTGCGGGCGCTCCCTCGCCCCTTGCGTGTCTCCCTCGCGCGCGCCCGTTCTCTCTTTCGCCCGCTTCTTCCAAGCGCCTGATACGCCGGCTACTTCTTATCTGCCAAAATCGGCCTATGGTTCAATGCCATTAGAGCCCGCTACAACTAGACCTAGATCCAATTATCCAAAGTCGAGAGTTGCTATTACAAGGTACAATCAGCTAAGTTAAACACCGACGAAACAATATTAATGGCTGGCACAGAATATTTTGGCCAAACCGCAGTTCAACCACGCGATCACATACCTGTCAACACCATGCAGAAATCACACAATCACACACTTTCGCGGCACTGATAAGACTATCCACAACCACGCACAATCTTCCCACGTTCAACATGAGCGAAATATCATCGAATAACTCGGAAAAACTCAGCCTATTGGCAAATAAATACCTCCGAACTTTTCTCTTACACTCGTCTTATTCAAGATCCTGGATGTAGTCTTGGCCCGGGTTAAAGTTCGCCTGCAATTTTGCTTGCACCTAATTCATTTGACTCCTAAGAGCCTGTTCCCGAGGCCAAAGACTTATTGGTCACCTAAGAAAAGCGAACAATATCGTACCTTTCTGTCTCAGCCCGGTTTAGGGTGATTGATATGTTTAGCCAAATGAAACGAGAATATAATATGATACCGGACGATGCAGACTCGTAATAACTTTGTCCCATCTCAGAACTTTACATGACGCTCTTTACATGATGACGAAACGTTTCTTAAGGTGACCAATATCTAAAAGTAAACTGCTAAACGGCACCGAAACCAGCTTTAGGCGCGCACTGAGAATTGTGGGTAGGGACAAAAACAAAATAGGGGGGGTTAGATAGTAATTCTGTCCACATCCACTTCTACTCAAATCCCTAACCACAAAACAACAAAAACAAACGACATAAGCACGCAAACAACTGAGTAAACAAGCTATTAAACAGGGGAAGTGTCGAAAAATTACAAAATGTTTGCTAACCCGGTTTTCATAACTCCAGGTAGATATCAATGCAAATAATACTAACTACCTTTGTCACGGTATTATGGTATCGTTTGTTTTCTCTGCGGACAGCGGCCAAATTTATCTATGTATACTTACTTTCCTCTCTCGAAATTGTTGAAGAAACCACCCTTCAATTCCATCTCTTTAGAGACACGCTTCGAGCCAAAGATGGTGATGAAAACATCTGCGTCTGTTCCTGCCCCTAATTGGTTGCCGGTAGTCACCTTAACAACATACTTTTTCCCTGGAGGAATTAGAAAATTGAAATAAGCAAGTGGTTTTGGTCCCGTACTTGTCACTCATCCCAGGAGTGCTCCCAAAATCAGGCCAAATTATTTCATTTCAGGCCCAAGCTGCTGTTGTTAATAGAGATAGTTATAGAAACTTCAAGACAGCAAAAAAACCTTACCTTCCTTCTAGTTAAAAGGGCTAAAAAAGACTATGACATTTGAACCCAACATACTAGTCTATTGCTTATATAAGAGAGTAGTAGTCCTAACGGTTCTTTCGCCCCCCTCCCTGTAGAGCTATAATCCCCGACGCCCGCTCCCTCGGTACATTTGAAAATCAAGATGGCCACCATTAACGGTAAGACGCGCTATATCTTGACGATCTCACGAAAACGTAGGGGACTGTGAACCGTCTATTTCACAGTGTTTTCGGGCAGGCTTTTTCTCTTCTCTCTCCCCGCCCCCTTCCCCGCTCGTTTTGACTCGCTCCATTTCCTCCTCAATTTTGGAGTTACAACGCGGTGCTTTCGCGAGCAAAAACATTGAGATAGGGAGAGGGCATAACCTCCTTTGTTAAAAATAACCGTGATAGCTTTTTGGTGGAAAAAAAAGTACAATGAAGCGTTCCAGGGTGTTTAGTTTTTGAGAATATTCGAAAAAAACTTAGTCTCGTCCTCGTCTTCGTCCTCGTCCAATTGCGGCGGGAAAATGTAAATTGACTTATTATATGGATGATAATTGGAATGGTCGGGTCCATACTTACCCAAAGTGGTTCCAGCTAGCACCAGAAAGAAAATGTGTATCATGAGGGCCATGGTCCGGCCTCAACACCTTGAAAAATGACAAAATGCTTTTTACCTCTGGCAAATCAAAAAATGCATTGTGCCCCACTGTTGTAAGTGTTGTTCTTATTAATATTAATATTATTATTCTATGAAAAGAAAATCTTGATTACATTATATTTTGTCTCTCAATGGTCACTTTTTATCTCGATCGTACCGTTTCAATCGCTTACAGCTGTTGTTTTTTCTACAGGACACAAAACAGCTTCTAGAGCGAACAATCGATTTTCAAAGTCGAAGACCACGAGAAGCGAAGTATACAAACCAAGTAAAAGGCGCGGTGATGCTACCAAAATCTCCTACAGTCAACCATCTTCTCATGACCGTCAGCAGTAAAACCTCAAAACGTGAGACAAACGATAAGCTAAGCTATGATGCCTACGTCTTGTCTTTAACCTTTTTTGGCCGCGATCGAAAGCCCACCATGTATCATTAGTATCATTATAACCATCAAATCATTTTTTTGTCTCCTAGGAACACTTATACCATCATTACTATTATCACTATCATTAGATCATTATCATATGAAGGAAGATCATCGCAGTTATGTACGCAACTTTTGCGTTTGCGAAAAGAAGGCGTGAAAAAAATTCAGGCGTCTACGCGATTCGAACCCTTGACCTCTGCGATACCGGTGCAGCGCTCTACAGTAAGCTAACAAGCCAACTGGGAGCAGGTCACTGAATAGGCCATTTCCAAGTTTCCCCGCGCCTCTGCATCAAAACGAGGTTAAGTGCTCAGCCTTCGATATGGAAATGATTTTTCATTCTCATGCAAATAAAACTCATTTTCACAAGAAAGTTTGTGCACTTGGTCTCGTTTTAAAAGTGAAGGTTCTTGGAACTCGGAAGTGGCCTATTGATTCGTTATAAACAAGTGAAAGGAGGATGATGAAGTTATGAATAAATGAAAATCATATATGCGAACTGCGGAGTGAAGAATTATATGAAGGAAGATCACTGCAGTTATGTATGCAGTTGCAAAAAGAAAAAAAAAAAAAAAAATTCAAGCTTGTACGGGATTCGAACCGTTGACCTCCGCGATACCGGTGCAGCGCTCTGCGATGATCTTCCTTCATATAATTCTTTACTCCGCTGTTCACATATATGATTTTCATATGCCATGTAATAAATTCTGGTCTTTCATGTTTCCAAGGCACATCAACCTCATATCTTTCTGTATCAAACCTGATTGACTCGTTCACTTTATCAAAGGCTATTTTCTCTTTCGGGGAAAGTGGTTGCTCCACCTGCGGTGTGATCCCAATAACCTCAAGGCTACAAAATTGTTTCAGTAAATACTTCAGACCTCCATCACTACACTCTGACCGCTGTATGCGATAGGTGTTCAGGCAACCAGTGTTACTTGTTCCATGTCTCTCAGACGTACAAATGATACCAATTGCTGTTCACCTCAATGGACACAGTCTGGCACTAGGATCATTGTCGCCTCCACGAACCTCTTTCATAGGAAACAGCAAGTTGTAATGATCTAAACCAATGAGAACGTCAATTTTACTCCTTTTTCCAAGCTTAGGTGAAGGAATTTCCCTCAAATGTTTCCACTGGTCTTTTATTTGCAGCCAGATAATGGGTTTCATCCCACCACAGATGTTATTACATGTTTTTGCTACAATGACTGTGTAAACCCGACCATCCAGACTCTCCAAACTAATCTCCATGGTTGCTGACATTAAATTGACTTTCTGACCAATAGAACATTAATAATTACTTTTTCCTTCCTACCATCCAACCCCAGTTTCTCTACCACATCTTCGTTAACATACGACGTATCATTGCCTTCGTCCAAGAAACAATAAACTTGCAAACGTCTCCCCCCATGTTTCAGAATTTACGGAACAGTAAGCAAGGCAATACTCCTCTTTGCATGTTCGTGTACTCTTTCATACGTACTGAACTTGTTTTCCTCAGTCAAGGGCCTATCAGCCTTCCCCTCCATGGACTCAGGAGCCACTTGCTCCTCATGAATAACCGGTGGTGTCTGTCCTTGCATCCGTCAATTCCACCCTCTCTGCTCCAAGTACATTAATCACCAATGTGCCCTTTCCCCAAGCAACGGTAACACAGTCCAAGTTTCTTCGCCGTCTCCCACTTCTTTCTATGTTCCTTTCCCTTGAACACATCACATTTCCAAATTGGGTGTTTTTGGTTGCACACTTTACAGGGGCGATCACGTCTCTCTTCTGCGGTCTCGAAATAAGACTTGGTTGAGCTCTTTCTTCGTGCATTTCCATTACTGGAAAAATCATGTTTAATTGCTGATGCTTGTACCTGGTACTCAGCTTCCTCACCAACCCAGTGACGCAGCTCTTCAAGAGACTCCATGCTTCCCTTTTTTTCAATGCATCGGTAGTACTGGCTAAATAGAGCTTGAGGAAGTTTTTCCAGCATAATTGCATACAATGTCCCTCCTTCCAGGTCAGTAAACTTCTTATTTTCTTTTAAATTCAACCTTGCCTTAGCTGCTTCGTACGCATGATCCGAGTAACCCAGTCCTTTCATAGTTTCGGACGCCTCTCCATTTAAACAACTTTCGAGCCGCAACATTTTAAACTGGGCTGACAAATTTGTTTTGTTCACACAACTGGAAAACACGGCCCACCACGACTGATATTCTTCTTGTCGCCCGAAAACTTTGGGATTCGAATCCGCTCGAGACGGTTTGTTTGCATCGACCACATGAACATATTTGCCATGTGCGCTCTCAAATGTTCCGCTCTGGCTCGTGTTATTTCCTTCACTTTCCTTGCTGTTATCTTGCGATAAGAAAAGCCGAGCTTTCTTTGCCTCGTTATCCACACGATCTATCATTTTATCCGCTTCATCGCCTGTTGAAGCTGCCAGCGATGCAAGCTTATAATCTCCGTACAAGGTTTGAAGCGAGTCCATCAGCTCCAAAAATTCATGCCGTCGCTTGTCGATGTCCTGTAGTTTTGCAGTGACGTTTTCCTTGTTCGGCGAATTCGTGGATAATTCCGCCGCTAATTCGTCCAGAAGCTTCATAATACTTGTCTTCAGTTGAGGGTCATTTTTTCCTTCTTTAACTCTTCTATTTTTCCATCCATAATTCCACCTGTTTCAGTTCTCGATAGACCTCCCGCCAAATGTTTCCCAGTTCGAACGAGTCCCTTGAAATTCTACAATACTGGTTCCAATCACAATCCAATTATTACACCAATGCGAATATCCGGTTTCCGAAGGACCAAAATGTAGATTCCGAAAAATGTAAGCTCTTGACAAAAAAAGCTACCGTAAAATTCCGAAAATAACCCCTCGGTTTTTTTTATTTTTTTATTTTTCAAAAGCCCTTTTTGATGGGCTTATTTTTAGAGGGGCTTTTATTCGGAGGGGCTTTTCTATGGAGGGAAATTTGGGTTTCAAAATCAATTGGGCTAGCCTTACAGTTGGAAGGAAATTTACCGTTTTTGCTTTGTTTTACTCTGTATTTGAGGGCAATTTCCAAGTACAAGCCCCTGGGGGGGCTTATATTTGGAGGGGCGATTTAACGGAGGGTTTTTTGCGTTACGAGTTTGGGGGGCTTATACATGGAGGGGCTTATTTTCGGAATTTTACGGTATCTCGATAAATTTCGACAAGTCTTGAGTCAAGTTCCATTCACAATTTTGAGTCCAACAACCTCGTCAAATGACATAAACTCGTGATCATTGTCACGACGTATATAAGGTAACGCAACTCTAAAATAGAATAAAATAATTTACCTATATATTTTGTATGTACTGCTAACATCATTTACAACCACAGGTTTACTTCCTGTCATCTGTCTTAGTTAAATACACAGCATACAGTGTTAGAGAATAATTAGTTACCATGTATCACATTGATTAAGTCTTATACTAGAGCGATTTTACTTTGTTAAGTGAGCTTAAGTCCTCCCTTACCCCCTTTAGAAACCTCAAATTGAAATGAAAAGGCTAAAATTTTCAAGAATTTATTTTGAGTACTTCATCGCATGTAACGTAATTTGCAGCGACAGGCAATGTTCTTCCGGCGTTAAGATTCAAATTAACGTTCTGGTTACGATTTCCACCTGCTGTTTGCCCTTGTTATTGTCGCTCTCTTCCGAACTCGGTAAATATTTTCTCAAAAATAGGCGTGAATAACACACTTCAAAATCAGATTGTTATCGGGCAATCCACTCTCCTCAAGTGAGTGACATGTGAAATTTGCGACCTTTGTGGGTGATTTTATGTTTAGATTTTTCAAAGAACCACAAGGAACTAGGAGTCATTATTTTATGACCTGACACAACCCGCCTTTAGAGGGTAGGGTATCAAGAGTTATTTCTGCAGTTTGTATCAACACAGCTAGCAAACAAAACGTAAATATTTGCCAATCGCATGTCCATACCCTGTCTGGTAGTATATTTTTACTAGACAACAAGTTGATAAAAATATTTTTTCAAAAACTTTGTTTTACCAGTTATAACTGCAATAACCGTCTCGACTGTTCGCAGAAACTTGCACTGCATCTAAAGAATACATTACAGAGACGGCCAGAAATAGGAATTAAACATTCAGTTTTACTTACATAAGATTTCGGAATTTTCTTTGCTGTTTTCCTCGGCCGTCCCCTTCTGATATGTCTTCCAGTGCCCTTTGTTATGAAAACAGCTTAGGTCAGATAATTTGACGGGTATAAAGCGGTCAATGTTTAATTAAAATGTTTTGCGTAGAATTAAATAAAGGAATGGTGAGTTAACTCCAGTATATTAGGGGCCTTGTTACTTTGACTGGAATGTGAGTCACATTCAAAGTGTGTCGAACAAATGCAATGTCATATAATATAGTTATGAAGGGAAATTTTAACCCTGGAAAGTAAACTTCATCAACGAAAATGCATTAAATTTGTATTGGTGTCCACCTCTTGTGGCAACTTTGTCGATATTAACTATCTGTCCAAAACTGACTAAGTCACCCGCTGATTTACAGGTCTACTAATCAAGGAGCTTTCACCTATTGCATATGAGACAAAGCCGAGGTAATTAAAAAGAGCAATAATTGAGTTTCTGTAATGAAGATAGTGAGTAAGCGTTCGATTCTCCTCGTCCTTAAACTTAAATTCCTCAGTTCAAAAAAAGTGTTCTTCCATCCTCACCACAACGGACCACAAAGCAAAAAGTTTATCCAGCCGCGTTTGACAAAGTTTAAACGTGCCCGCAAAAATAATCTTTTTTGATTCTTAACAATTATAAAGTAGAAAGAATGGTGATTACATTGAATTACTCTTGGAAGATCCCGGTGATACTACCGGAAAAGGTGAGTTTAAAAGCCCAAGAAGCTAATGTACGTCTCAGACGGAAGTCATAATCGAATTACGATTGAGCAAGACCAAGAGTAGTAAAAAATGCCAATTAACTTAAATTACAGCAGTGGTGGCAGAAAAAGAGATCGTCGCTTCTGTACATCTTAAACATGCGTTTAATCTACCCTGAAGAATCAGGCATTGATTTACGTGAAATTTACATTATCTCTAAATTTATTTAAAAGAAAATGAATGATTGACAGAGGTATGAAAAATGAAAAATGCCGTTGTGGAAATTGCAACCAGGTTTCAGGTTCAATGCAATTCAATTCAATTTTATTATTCACACTTTATAAATTATTTACATTATATATAGTAAGTGTACGGTGGTCAGAGGAGCTTAGCTTTCGAGCTAACCACATCTATATTATGATTGGAAATACATAATAAATGTCCGCTTGGTGCCATGGCAGGTTAAGCCTGAAATCCGGCAACGACATGAAAACGAGGTTAGTGGAAAGTACAATATAGACTTACCCTTTCGTCTCGTTTTCAAGATAGAATCACTGATAACCGTGATATCTTGCTTGCAGTTGATCATGGCCTTGCCATAATTTGATGATAACGTGAAAATTAGAAGCGTTATGAATAAAATATCGTACTGACCTAGCACCGTAAAAAGGTGATGGCTTGAAGCTTATTCAATTAAAAAGGGACAATCAAAGTGTCAAAGGGATGGTTGCCATAGCAGCTAAGTTTAATTATTTTTAAAATGAGTAATTAGCATTAGTGATATTTAACAACGCAATTAAAGTGACGCGTTTCCTACGGAGCGGTTGCCCAACTTTTGCAACCAATGAAAGTATTTAGAAAAACCCTTTTGTCAGCCTTTTTACTCCAACCTTTATGGTCTAAGCAGAAAGTAACGCCTGTTTGCACTGGATTGCTTAGGTCAGCTCTAGCCCACAGTGGTTGACAGTTGTTGTTAGAATCGAGCCTAGGGATTACCTTGTTTTGACTAGCCCTTCCTGTTTTGTTATGTATTTAAAAAATCATGTCCAGAACCAAATCATGACCAGGCTAAAGCATAGAGAGAGCAAGAAGGTTTGTATCGAAATAAGGGGTGCTTACTGTGTGGGAAAACTGGGAATTCGGGTTGGAAAATCAAATGACTTGCGCGTTTGCATATAGCCCGTGATAAGAGGCGATGCAGTTGTTCTTCCCTTTCAAGTCCTGGCGGGTCTTCCTCCAACAAAGTCAGATTTAATTTTTTTAAATTAAACTTTTATTCCAACTGGATGGTTTGTGTAAATGTTAAGACCTCAAAATCACCTCAAGCCTCACATTCAGCCATAGGCTAGGATACTAAGTACAGAACTGCACAATCAAGAAGACAAAAGGTCTCGGCAAAATTGTTTTGTCACTTTGTTCTGGTGAAGATTGCATTTCAGCGAAATTGCCACCTACAGCAAGTATATCAAGCGTTTTAAAGATGAGGGGGCTATTTCAAGAAGGGAAATGAGATACCTTATGCCCTGGACTTATACATCTTCGCAAGGGATTGTAGGAGGGCTGATATCCGGTTAGAAAAAGTGCTTCGACACAAGCTATAGCAATGCTGATCAAAAGACCAAAATACGTTTTGCTTATACTGGTTTGTAATCAAGCTTCAAGAAGCGTCATATTTGGGACTTTAGGAGGCCACGACGGCGACGACAACGAGAACGTCAAAAAGGCAATAAGTTGAATAGGCAAAACAACAACTGCGCATGCGCATCACGCTATTTTTTTTTACATTTCTTTGCCGTCACTGCACGACTACCGATGGAAAAATGCCTAATTTCACGTTTCGTGGAGAACGTAAACAAGCGACGGCTAAATTTCCTTGCTCTTTCTGAACCTGAATATGCTTCTTAGGAATTCGGCTCAAAAAGAGTTCGCTTGCTTATGACAAAGTAAATGAGTTGGAGTAAGGGACTGTGCAATAATTACCTGGAGGGGGGCTGGGAAATGGGTGAAATATGCCCCAAAACTAAGTCATACCCCCCTCTCATAAAGCAAAAATTAATTTCAACCCTCCCTCACAAAACGATAATATTAAGGCTAACCCCTCCCCCCCTTGCTCTTGAAAATAGTCTCCTCCCATTGATTCCCTCATACCCAGTTATACTTGTTGGATTTCTTCCTCCGGTACAAGCATCACTTCAAATGACTCTTCGACGTATGTTGAAGAGTCATTAGAAGAGTCATCAGAATCACTGGACTCTGAGCTTGTGTCGTCTTCGCATGAATTGGGAGATTCCTCATCTTCTACAGCATCTCTGGTACTAAGGTTCCCGCGTGCGTGGGTGAGAACTCAGGAATTCCTGTCTGATGGAGTTTTTTTTTTTTTTTTGAAGCTAAATTTAATCATACTGTGTTTTATTTACCATACTTTAAATCTGTATCGCTATTAAAATTTCAACAGTTGGGTTTTTTATTCTGCTAAATTATGATGCCATGTATGCTAACATTGGCATCTTTCTTTTTTATTGAATAACATTGTAGTGCTTCTTTTGCAACTTTTAATTAAAGTTTCCTGTTTTATTACATCCTAGTGCAAATAAAGTAGCACTTTTTTAACATATATAACAGAGGCATTCCTTTCCTACTGCATGTCAGATAGGAAAACAACAGTTCAGCGATCAGAACGTAACACCTTAGAGTTGATACATTTTTCAGTTTTATGTCAGTTATTATTTATATTTGAACCTTAATAGCTCCTCCACTACTTTTCCAGTTTGCAAAAAGGAATGAAAAAGTAATGCCCCACCTGTATATATTAAATTTTACCTCTAACCCCCCCCCCCTCTGTCTTCTTGTCATTTTCTCCTATGCACCCCGCCTCTAATTTTCCAACCCGCCTCCAGGTAATTATTGCACAGTCCCTAATCGGGATAGAGATTGAAAGAACGCAAATTCACTTTTCAAGCGAGGTTTTCGTGGCCGTCGCCGTCGTGGTATCTTAAACTCCCTATTAACTCGACTTCAGAAGGGGCATAAAATCGGACCTTGAAGAGGGATAATAAGCGGAAGGGCTTACACTCGGATGTATGTTTTTTGTTTACAAGTAGATAGGCCTATAACCGGGGGAGCTTATAAATGACAATTTACTGTTAATAGATCCTTGGGTAACGTTTGCGCAAAATACACAAAACGAAAAACTGCTATACAATCTGCCAAACGGTTTATTGAGCACTGTGGTGGCAGAATGGTGGCAATATTAAATTTCTTTTAACCTTCCTACCTCGATTGCATACGCAGTTGAATTTGAGCCAAAATAATAAATAAACTTGCGCTAATTTTTGAAGTTGTCTTGTAGTACGTTTTGCCTTTTTGGGGGGAAGAAGATTCAAAACAAGGGTGGTTGAGCTTGGCTGAAATTGGTAAAAATGGAAAATAGCGGAGGTAATGAAAGAATGATGTGTCACCATTGATATTACTTTATTGAAACTTCGGGGACTGTACAGCTGTTGTAAAGAGTTCTTAACAAATTTGATTGAAACATTCCATTTCTTTAATATTTACTGAAGAAGGGCTTCTAGGAAGGGTGGTTTTATTTGATTTACGATAAGCTGAAAATTGTTAACTCAAATTTCAACCAACAAATTTATTACCGCCCATTATGAAATCTTTTGATGAGCAATAAGCACCGGTTAAAACATTAAATAAACTGGTTGGACAATGACTGCTACTGTACATCATTAACTGTCTAACAACAAAGCGTTTGGAAAGGGACTCTAAGTCAGTAAACGTTTGGAAATGGACTCTTAAAATAAGCACGTATACAAATAATAGTGGTAGTTGGGTCCCGAATGACGTAGCAGCCTTGTCAACCGAGTTTATAACAACAATCACAGAGAGTGAGAATCGGGTTTACTGTTCTGTTATATTTACCATATGTTTTACAGTTCAATGTCTAATGCTACAAAACCTGATTTTTTCGTAAAATGTTGACTCTTTAACCCCCAAAAGTGATCAACGTCAAATTATTCCTAATACTAACACAGTCATATATGTAGGTCATTAGATAAAAGGAAATGAGCAACAAGTGGAAAAGGTATTGACTGTTAAATAAATTCTTCTCGTCAGTAATGTGTGAAATGTTTGGTGACTAGTGTAGGGACTAGACATGCTGATGTTGGGTTGGGTTGATGTTGTCCAGTGCTCAAGGTACCACAAAAACAAACAGAAACCCGACATCAAAACGTATGTAATCTGATATGTGACCGCCTCTTACAACACCTGGATGAGCAGTAAGGCGGACAGTATTTGCTGCTGCGAGTACAGGAGAAAGGACAATTCCCTGGGTTCATGGCATTGGAATTTGGCTGGGTTACCAGGCGAGGAGCAGTAGATTGTTGATTTGCCGATTGTGTGCAGCAGCTTGGATTGCAACCAGGTGGACACGAAGGGCCACCACAGTGATTCGGGCAGGACGAAGCCCCCGAAAAATGTAGTTTTATGGCATTAGGTTGTGGCTGGATGACCATTTGCGATCCAGGGAGTTGTTGATTTGCCGATTGTGAGCAGCAGCTTGGATCGCAGCGAGGTTGACAGGAAGCGCCCCGACAATGGTTTGGGCAGGACGAAGCGCCTGAAAAATGCGGTTTCATGGCATTGGGCTGTGGCTGGGTGACCATTTGTGGTGCGGGAGATTGTTGATTTGTTGATTGCATGCAACAGCTTGGATTGCAGCCAGATTGACAAGAAGAACCCTGACAATGGGTTGGGCAGGATGAAGCGCCTGAAAAATGCGGTTTCATGGCATTGGGTTGTGGCAGGGTGACCATTTGTGGTGCGGGAGATTGTTGATTTGTTGATTGCATGCAACAGCTTGGATTGCAGCCAGATTGACAAGAAGAACCCTGACAATGGTTTGGGCAGGATGAAGCGCCTGAAAAATGCGGTTTCATGGCATTGGGTTGTGGCTGGGTGACCATTTGTGGTGCGGGAGATAGTTGATTTGTTGATTGCATGCAACAACTTGGATTGCAGCCCGATTGACAAGAAGAACCCTGACAATGGGTTGGGCAGGATGAAGCGCCTGAGAAATGCGGGTTTGTGGCATTGAGTTGTGGTTGGGTGACCATTTGTTGAGCTGTCGATTGTGAACAGCACCGTCGATTACATCCACGTTGACATGCAGCGCCCCTACAGTTGTTTGGGCAGAACGCAGTGACTGAAAAATGCAGTTTTATTGCATTGGACTTCGGCTGGTAGGAAACTTGTGATGAAGGAGATTGTTGAGTTGTCGATTGTGAGCAACACCGTGGATTGCAGCCAGGTTTACAGGAAGCGCCCCCACAGTGGTTTGGGCAGGACGAAGAGCCTGCAAAAGGCGGTGCCACAGCATTGAGTTGCGGCTGGTAAGCCTGTTGTGGTGCAGGAAATTGTTGAGTTGGTGATTGTTTGCAGCAGCTTGGATTGCAGCCAGGTTTACAGGAACCACCCCCACAGTGGTTTGGGCAGGACGAAGCGCCTGCAAAAGACGGTGTCATAGCACTGAGTTGCGGCTGGTAAGCCCGTTGTGGTGCAGGAAATTGTTGAGTTGTCGATTGTGTGCAGCAGCTTGGATTGCAGCCAGGTTGACACGAAGCACCCCCACAGTGGTTTGGGCAGGATGAAGCGCCTGAAAAGTGGATAGTTAATGCAAAAGAGTGAAAAAAAATCTAAAGAATGCACGCTTACCTGTTAAACGTATTAGTCGCTTATTGGAAGACTATCACGCAATATTCTCAGGAGGTTCCATGGCTTACCTAGTTTTGACTCGGAAGAGTGCATGTAACAGATTTACCAGTGAACGCATGAACTGGATGCGTTTCTCATTTCGGAGTGTGATGAAGGACGAAGGTTGAGATTTGCGATAGTCATTGCTCGCTCGCCAAGTGTTTACCTGCTAAAGCTTCAAATCGTTATCGTTTTCTTTACCATCCATCGCTTTCCTTTAGCTTGCTTGCGAAACTAAAGCACTATGAATCCTTCAAACATGCGAATATGACTATGAACAATTTGGATGAAGAATCCTTCTCTAGAATGGTCACACAATCTGCAAATGGGTCAATGAAGCAACGAATATCCATTTTGGCAGATTTAATTCACAACTTCTTCTCCCATAAGTATGAATTTTCAGAGAATGAAACAAAATTGGTTTTATCAGGTTTGAAAAGATAACATCAGTTTGTACTCTCTTAGTGGCACATCGTTTAAATTGTTTAGTGTCCGATAAAGTTTTGCGGCTGAAGTGTCCCCACAAAACCTGTACTTTTTTTTTCCTCAGCTTTCTCCTACTTTTAAACCCTTAGGATGTCCAGAAAATTTTAGAAATAACGACTTAAAGAAGATATGTCTTGATAAGTTCAACATGATGAAAAAGTCTAACAAGCGTGTTCTTAGTACTAGCTCTTCTGCAATGTTACCTGGAACTCTAAAAAAAACTAAGATATCAAAAAAAATTGTATCAAAGCGGAAACAAACTTGAAAGAGTTTTTTGAAATAAAAATGAACCATTGATAAATAATGAACGATGGTAAATTCTAAGCTCGGTGAAATGATAAATGATGTGATCAACATGTCACCAGTACAGGACATTTAATAAAACATGGTTTCTTAATATGACAAATATCACCTGTTTATATCACATGTTATTATTTTGACAGTGTACTACACATACCTGAGCAGACAAACTCAACCGACCCAAGTTTTGCAGATCCTCCACTGGAAAGCTTGATTCCACCATTTTCTTTGATGCCCCTTTCAAAAGAGGCAATCATATCTGGGGGTACCTCTGGACCAAGGCTCAGTGTAACCTCCACAGTGGACACTCCATTTGGCATACATCTGTAAATATTTGAACTGCCTCAGGATTAATGATTCATGTAACTGCAATGCCTTATAAGAAGAACCCCACTTATGTCAAAAGGCTATTTAGGCTATTGGTTTTAATGGTTGTTTTCTTTTGCATACATTTGTAATGATTGACAAACTTGGTACATGATTCAGCTCTAAAGCCATATTACACGGGGGTTGTTCAGCAAAGTGCTTGTTGTTTGTTTGTTTCTTTGTTATTTCTAAAGCCTGGTTTTCACTAGCGCATAAGCATAAGGACATACACACGCGCAGAATGGCATATTCGACTCAATTCTCGATACCAGCTCTCCTCAACCCGATGATAAAGAAGATGGCAGACGAAGCGTCTGCCTTATTGCTTTTAATAAGTGAGCATGAGGTCTGGGTCAAAGTGACCTATGATTGGTTCACGGCCTTGTGCTAATGCTTAGCCTTATGTCGACCCCGTTTTCACTAGTCAAAACTACGACATAAGCGTAAGCACAACCACAAGAAGAACGAACTTGTACGTTTTTCTTGTGCTTATGCTTATGCTTATGTTGACCTGCTTTCCACTTTCTTACACATGTGCTTGTGCTTATGCTTATGCTTATGCGCTAGTGAAAACCAGACTTATACACTTAAGGGTCAAGAGTACCTAGATAAGATACCTACCAAGAGAAAAGATGAGAAACTCATGGACAAAGATTTATGACCAAAAAATAAATTAATAAATAACAAATTATTTATATGTCTTTTATACACATAGAGTGTTATTTCTAAATACTTGATAGTATGTGGTGTAACTGTCACAAGATATCCTCTTGTTTAAACAAATTCCATGTGGATATTCCAGACCCCCTCCCCCCTCCCCCATTTCTCTTATTTTTTTTACTTAAACTTAATTGTCCAGTTTTCCAGCATGCCAGTCCCTACCTGACAGTGTTCACTGTAGGTTGAACTGTGATAGACTTAGCTTGAAAATAATTGATGATCTGCAAAAGTAAAAAAGGGTTTCCTACAATATATTTAAGCAATAGGCCACACTTTCTATTATTACAAGTGCTTTACAAGCTTTTCTCGTGTTCTCCCAACATCCCGCGTGGGTTATCACGCCGGTAAACCCCGGAACGTGTGGTCTATTGCTTTTATAAAATAAATTGCACTAAAACTATGAGTTTACAATAAAACCATAGGTTTTTAACCTATCAGAACGCGCGTACTATCTTAGTTGTTTTATAAATTTACATTATTCGTTGTGCAATACGTGCACCTTTTGGTTAACCTTTTTAAGATTAGGGTTCATTAGGCTTGGACAGTTTTATTGGAGAATTGAATTTTGTTAAATATTGCCGTGTATTTCTTACACCTTACATATTTTTGCTCATATTTCCTTTCTTAATGCTCGCTTTCCAAATAATCTTTCGAATCGACCCGGCCTACTTATAGATATTAGATAATCTAGCCGACTGCGAGTGGCGAAGTCGTCCCGGTCCAAGAACATATTTAAACAGTGGATATTACTAGCGGAATGCACTGGATGATTAAATCTCCATGCTATGTACACAGACAGGCCGGTTAGTTTTCCTAATAATATCCATTGTCTAATTGGGAGAACAATAAGCTTAAGATGTACTGTATTGAATTTACCGCCTGTTGAAGTAGACTGTTTCCACTTTGAACGTAAGTTGTTGTACACATTATGTTGGCTGCAGGCCATTGGAAATTTTGCTGGTTGGGTGGCGCCTCCGTTAAGTTGAAAAGCATCTTGTAAGTGGTGTAACCTGCAGATTCGTGATCATAAATAATTATGTATGTTAAACCATTTTTGCACGTCAGTCAATTCAACTATTACATTTTAGTAATACCGAGATCATATGATATTTTCAGAAAATGCTGACAGCAAGGAAAATTTTGAGCCTCCCAACGTGATTCGAACTTCCAGCCCACCTTAGCTTGAAACGTAAATTCGAATACTTGAGCCGTGGTAAAATGTGCAACAACAAAAAAAGACAGTGGAAGAGGAGATTTCCTTTTGTGTCCCTCCACCTACTATCCGGTCGCCTGGCACAGCTATAGATCACTCAGATATGGGCGACTCACTGGAAACTCGTGATGCAAAAGGTCTAAGATATTTGAGGAATCCGGAATAATGTAGAATTATATGTTTTTACCAGGTAGAGGCTGCTTGCAGATAAAAGGCTTCGGATCAAAACAGTTTTTATCCGCCCATCCAGGAAGAACGTTCCCTGTTGTTTGCACGATGCAGTTTTCTTTTTCATTGCCATTAGGTTCTCCTTGCACCCACTCAGAAAACGGAATCGGGGATCCATCGACCCAGAAATAGCGTGCTTCTTTTAAGTCATCTTTTAATCCAATCCATGCTTCCGATATGTTGGACTCTAAATATCAGAAAATGATACAACGAAATGAAACTGTTAGGTTATTATTCTATCAGGAGAGTAGAACAGACGAAATAAAGAAAATATAAGGTGACAATCGTATTGCAAAGCTTCTTACTTTTTAGCAAGTCCACTACAAAAAATTCTTCATCTCTACTTTCAATAGAGGCTAGTGTTCCATTTTTCTTCACACAGCTCATGAGTGCGTCATACCAGCAACGTGGGGTATTCACAACAGAAAAACACGATCGACCGCCCAACATCGCAGAAAAGCCTTCTGGACAAGTAGCTTTTAAAAAGAAAAAGAGAGAGAACCAAAATGGGACGATGAGAGTGTCTATAGCTACTTTATGGCTTTGGTATTTATTAAGGAAACAACTAGATAAGTGACTTTAGAGCTTATAAAAAGCTTGCTATCCTTCACTAAATTTAATCTTTTAAAACCTAGTTAATACTATTTGAAAAAAGTCTAGTTTCTAGATCAAATACAGCAAAGCTCAAGGAAGAATGTGTAAGAAATAACAACCTGCAGTTTTTCTGATTTTTTTTTATGTAGTTCAATATGAAGGTCATTGCCTGATCATAGACCTAATGCTATGATGAGTAAAGCGAGCTCAGTTAAATGGACATTTTAAAAAATACGCGAAGCACATGACAATTTCAAAAATCAAGAATATATCATATTTGTTATGTTCAGGATTCTTTTTATTTTAACCTTCTGTGGTCTTTTTCTGAAAATAATTTAACAAAAAAGTATGTTATATAGTGATACAATACCAACCTTCAGGAGCTGGTTGTGATATTCCTGCGAAAAACGGTTCAAAAAGGATTTAGGGACTGACAGAAAAAACTTGTATTCAAAAAGCAGTTATAGATAGCCTTAGATTCTGAGTCGAGGACGACTACGAGTACGAGATTTTCTCAATACTGAGTATTGCTCACGCGTGAACCAGCGTCATTATGGCAGGAAAACGCGATAGCCGTCGTCATTCTACTACGAGTTTTAGCAAGAATGTCGTAGTGGCGGGAACAAGTTATCAAAATTGGGAGAGGCTAAATCTCCTTCAGTATCAATAACCGTACTAACTTCTTTGGTAAAAAAAAATAAAATGAAGTTTTCCGGCGTGTCATTTTTTTTAGAACACGGGCAAAAACTTTAACTTTAATCTCGTACTCGTACTCGTTCTCGTCCTCAAGTCTAAAGCTCTCTAATGGACACAAACACGTGTAGTACGCTCACCGTACCATTGTTTTACAAAAGGGCTCATTTAACTCTCCCTCCAATTCCAACTCCCAAAAATGCACAAAAAAAGCAAAAAATTCTTCCTCTGATATTATGGACGGTAAGTCTCAGTAAGACAAATGAGTTTAAAAAAAGCTGGAAACGTACCAACGTTAGATTAGAAGAAATCCATTCAAAGGAGGGAAGCAGTGACGTTTTTGAGCAATGCAGTCAACCGGAAGTGAGCCTTTTTCTCTATTACCAATTTTTTTTCTAAGTGTCTTTACTCTTTTATAGACGATTTGATCCAAAATTTGTTCAAAATCACAGCTCAAGAGTGCGAAAAGTCCACTTCCGGTCTGGTTGACGTCCGTGGCTCAAAACGTCGCTGCTTAAGCTTCCTAATTACGATGCGGGAACGAGAGCGAATAAATGGAAGAGAGAGAAAATGTGGCTCTTGGGATACCTGAATTTCACCAAAGTTATTTTTAGATCAATTAAGCCCTTGAAATTAATCTTGAGTTGGTTTCCGGAGGGGAAATTAAACTTTTCAGTTTTCAAAAGAGAATAATGGGGAATTATGCTCTCTTGGTGTGTAACAATTACAACAGTGTGCACTGCTTGCTTTGAGGACGCGTTCGTGGACTTGATAACGTTCAAGCAATTGATTAATGTGTGCAGACGTACCAGGAGGCGAAACTCGTGAGATTAAGCTAGCTTAACCCGTTCTTCAGCCGACTTACCTGTAGCAGGCAGAACGTTATCTCGGACTTTTCCAGTTCCATTTTGTCCAGGTTCAAGTAACACCACAACATAAACTTCGCTACCATCTCCTTTTGCAAATCCAACTCCCACCTGTTTGTTGCTCTTCCAAACCATCTGCGTAAAAGGGGAAGAGAGGTTTGACAGCTTAGGCTCAGCCCAGTCGAAGTCAGTGATGCAGCTATACCACTTGCTGACGCATGCGGTGACAATACTGTCTTCTCCGCTATATTTGCAAATCAGTTGTCCGTACGTGGAGCTGTTGTCTTTCTTCGCTTCTCCCAAAGCAGCAATGGTCGTAGCCCATTTGTTAGCTAACGTGTTTAGCTTTTCTGAAACCAACACGCCTGGGGAACAGTGAAGTCTTCGGAAACGGTTGATTGCAGCGACTAGGTCAGCGGATGTTTGTTCTCAACAAGAAAATGGGCAGAATTTAGTTAACGAAGTGGAAAACGGATAATCATTTAATCATGATACCTCAGGAGAAAGACTTTCTACTTTTGGCCGGTCGACCATGTTTGCGATGATCGACTACCTTTACCCGCACATTTTAAAGACGGATGTATGATTTTTACAAGCTAAGGTCGCAACATCTAATCAGACTGGAGACTAAAGAGGGGTTAGAATATAGATAGCCCCCAGGATCACAGGAGGGGTAGTTAGAGGATATTTTTCCGCAGCAGTTTCCAAATTTTTTCAGAGCACAACTGGCTCCTCAACGTCAAAGTTGCGCCGATCTGAAACAATTCTGGACGTGTTGACCACTAGTGCAAAATCCAGCTAGCAACTTTTTGAAATTTTGAGTGTTTCAGTGCTCTGAGCAACCATTGTTACCTGTAGTTTTTAATTTTTAATAGCGTAGAGTTATTAATTCAAAGGGAACGTTTTGGGGCTGTATTCGAAGCACAGTCTACGTCCCTGTATTACATTACAAGGTCTACGCCATTTTCGAGTTGTAACTGAGAGAATGAAAGAAGGTGTATGAAAATGTCCTCTGCTTCAAACCGAGGTCAAACGCATTTCGAAAAGAATAAGAAAATGATTATATGAAACTAATTTTCACAAGAAAAGTAAGAAAGATTTTGCACTTGGCCTTGTTTTGAAAGTAAAAATTTTGGAACTTGAAAATGGCCCATAATAGATGGCGAAACAAAAGGCAATCAAAAACAAAAAAGCTCACCAGGAACTGCAGGAACTAGTGGAGCTGGTGAAGCAGTTACATTCTTTGTTGGAGCAGTGGAGACAGGTGTCGCTGTTTGACTAGGTGTAGCTGTAGGTGTAGGTGTAGGTGTTGGTGTAGAATCATGTTGAATTTCATCGGTATCTTGACTGCCTTCACTATCCGACAGAGTCAGTTTCTCTAAAAACAAAGTTTAAATTGTAACTAAATTACATTTGTAATTGTTTACCCAGAGAGCCCTTAAGAACTCGTTGAAACGTACCCGTGTGTTCCAGATCGAACTGGAATTTGGAAGTGTGAGTTGTTAACCCTTTTACTGCCAAATGTGGCCGAAGGCAAATTCGGACCTAATTTCCAAATTTCATTCCCTAAAAATTTGAGAAACAAATAGCACCATGTGTACGTACAGGCAGAGAGCTTTAATTTGAATGGTCACATCACAGGATTTCGTCCACAGACTCAAAAGTTAGAGTCACCTTACAAAACTCTATCAAACTTTCTGGCAGTGAAACGGTTAAGGAGATGGGAAAACCGGAGTCCCCGGAGATAAACCCCTCGGAGCAAAGGAGATAACCAACATCAAACTCCACCCACGTATGGCGTTGTTGCAGGGATTTGAACCCGGGCCACATTGGCGGAAGGCGAGTGCTCTCACCGCTGCGCCATCTTTTCTGCCCTAAATCTGAAGTAAATATAAAATCTTTTTTTCTGTTTGAACTGCCACAGCATATTCTTGTCAATTTTAGTTTATTTATATTTTGATAGAGTAGTTTTTTCTTGCGCGAGGCGGTCACAAGCAAATTAACACGTAAGTGAATCACAAAAAAGAAGCGCCTCGAATATTTTAGAAAGTTTTCCGAGACAAGTTCACTTCAATATGAAAAATTGAGTATAATTTTTTTTCAGCCCCTTTCTTCTTTTCTTCCAAAAGGAAATAAAAACATGGTTTAGCATTTATTAATGACTTCTTAATTCAATTCAATGCAATTTACTTTCTCACAATTTTTTAATTGCTGCTAAGTTACAGCCTTTTTAGGTCATTGTTTACAGTTATAAAAATTTCTATTTAGTTAATATTAAAATTCGAGTCCGATGACCAAGTGAACCTTTCGGGTTTTCTAGTTGGCCACAAGAATATTACAATAATAACAATATTTCTATTTGGCCACAATAATATACCTTATTATAGGAAATTAACGCGAATCATTAAAATTCGCGTTAATTTAAGTCGCGTTGTTGAGCGTTAATTTCCGCGACGTTAATTGAGTACAGCGTTAATTTCCGCGCTCTTAATTACCAGTATTTTAACCCCAATTTTGGAACCTGTCCAGACATTCTTGACACCTAAAAAACATTAACTGCAAGCTTTCTTTCTTTCCAGTTACCTTTTATTTTTCATCTTTCACAAAAGCTAAGGCGAAGGTTAACAATATTTCGAGTTCATCTTCATCGTTGTCGCTGTCAAGAAGTGATGTCAACATCTTCTCCTTTGATTTCGGCCAAGATAATCGCGTTAATTTCCTTTTTATGAAATTCTACCTCCTCTTTCGCGTTAATTTTCTTTATTCGAAAGTCATTTTCCATTAAATTCGCGTTAGTTTAAGTCGCGTTAATTTCCAACACCTTAATTTCATGGAGCGTTAATTTCCTATAATAAGGGCGTTTCGTTTAATATACATACAGACGAGGAACCAGAAAGACTGTCGCATTGCTGTAAGCTTGTCGGACCTTTGTTTTGCAATTTCAGTTTAATACCTTGTAGTTAGCTAAAATTTAACCATAAGCAAGTCAAGTCGAGTCAAGTCAAGTCAAGTCAAGTCAATTTTTCTTTAAACTCACACAGAATAATAATTAATACGAATTAGTGCTTTAAAATTTACAATCGAGAAATTGTGAAGGAAAAGAAATTTTCCATTGTAGGTTCATTGTGCAGAGTTTGGGACAAATAGTTCGTGGAACTAACCGACTGTAGGTGACCCAAACAAGAATATGAGTAGAAGGAATATAGAAACAAAATAGTTGTTTTAGATAAAAAGTATTACTTCATTGATTAAATAGTAGTTAAAGATAATATAATCGTAAAACATTAGCAATCAATAATATTATTATAACCATCAATCATAGAATTCTTGATAGATTGACGAAAACTAGAAAAAGGCTTGTAATGATTTTCTTAACATCAATAGATAAAGAATTCCAAAATTTTGGACCAGTCTAACTGAGAGAATGAATGCCGTAGTGAGCGGTGTGAACAGATTTAACAAGCAGATTATCAATCTGTAATTGAAGTGTATTATATGTCAAAATTGAATGAATAGAAGATAATGGGTTAAAATAATTAACAAAACAGGAAGTGCTTAGTTTATGGTACCACTGATAAACAAAAGAGAGAATTTCAAGATGAATTATATCAGAAAATTTTAGAAGTCTGAGAGACTTCAGCAATGGCTCAGAATGTGATCTAAGGTCGGAAGAAGTCGTTATTCTGACGACTCGTTTTGCAAAGTTGTTACAGGTTTTAGGTAGGCTGGGTACGTGGGACCCCAAACTTGAATACCAAAAGAAAGAAAGGGGTAAATTAGGTAATAGTAAAGCATAATAAGTATTTCAACATTGACATAGTACCTTTATTTGGAAAATACGCCTACAGTGTTCGATAGTTTTAAGCAGAGTTCATTAACATGATTTTTCCACGTCAAGTTTGAGTCAAAAGTGACACCTAAGTATTTGACAGAGGAAACTTCTTGGATGTTCACACCATCAATTTTTATATTTAATGACTTGTATGGCTTTAGTTTCTTAGGATGAAAAAGAACAAAATTAGTTTTCAAAGTACTCAGAGCTCGTCTATTAGATTTCATCCACTCAGCCACCGCATGGAGCTCTTGATTTAGGATTAGTTCAAGATCATTAAAGTCTTTTACGTGAACAATATATATTAGTGACATCAGCAAATAAGTGGAACCTAAGCAGTTTCGAGGTGTTCGGTAGGTCAATAATATATAATAATATATGGCAAAAGCATCATCTAACCATTAAGACTTGCAGTATTAAGATTTACTGTAGCTCTGCCATTGATTTTCCCGTGTGTAATTATGATAATATTTTGTTCTAATTATCTAACTGAGGGAGCCCATTCCTTATAAGCCCGGTGGCTTCTCTTGGGCTTCCTCGCCATGAGAGTTAAGGTAATTAGATTTGATTTGATTTGTATAATTTTTGGCAAACAAAACAATAAACAATAAGTTCTCATGTCAATAATTCAAAAATCCTTCCTTGCTTCTTTTTTGGAATACTTTTTATTAAAATTTCTAGATGACTGTTAGTACTCACGTTCACATCTGAGCCCAGCATACATCGGAAGGCAGTCACAATGGTAGCCTTCTGGCTCGTCGACATCGATTTTACAGGCTCCTCCATTCAGACAGGGGTTCTTTGGTAAGCAAGCTACAAAAGACACAGCAGAGCGGCAATTATTTTGCACAGTATCAAGATACAGAGATACCAAGGCCTTGTGTCCACACCTAATGCGCACGATTTCCAAAACGTACGTGTTCATGACGGAAGGTCAACACTCTCCCTTAGTTTTTGCCATCGATAACGTAGTTATCTCTTATTTGTGATTTATCATTTACCTCTCAAGTTCTGTGCTACCTCTGGTACATTATGTGGAAGCCCACCACCTGCCAAAAAAACGTTTTTCAAAGTCAAATACAAACATGCAACTATAAAATAATATTTTTTGGCAAATTCAATTCAAATACAGTCCATCTATCCAACCCTACGGCTGTCAGAACGCTGCTTTGATTTGACGACGCATACCGTCCTTGAGTTTTCATTTCCTTTTTTACCTAGAATTCAATAACACCAGCATCTTACAGGCTCTTAACAGAGGAAAGTATTATTTCTAAACTAAAGATGATAGAGGCATTTTTCTCGTAAAGTTGCAGGGTCGATTGTAACGCTTAACGGTACAAAAAAGCAAAATAACCTTGTTCAGTGATGTTTTAGCTTTCACTGTGTTAGAGTAGTAAATTTAATTTTTTTAATACTTGAAAATAAATGATTCGTACAAGCTTATTATTGTTCGGCATGTAAGTAAATAATCTACCTTCAATGAAAGCCTCTCTAATCTCGTTTGGTTCTAGAACTCTCGGCCACGTGACGAACTTATCAATCTTCATTGGCAACATGTGTTTCTTCGCGTCGTTGTTGTTGTTTGGCTTACTAATAGTGAACTCGTGAATATTATTTGCCCTGGGTAACGCAAGATCGGTAGGTTGAACTTTGAAACTTTCCTTTCTTCCGTTGACAAAATACGTTAGCCCGTTTTCTGAAAGAAAAATACGAATTCGGTAGTATAAATCAGGTAGTTTAACTGTATCGTTCTCTCCACATCTATTTGTAAGTCAATGAAATGACCATTTACATCCCAGGGGCCCATCATTTGTATTGGTCACGTTCGTTACAATACCCCATTTCTATAAGAGGAATGGGTCGGCGCAATGATTTCTAGGACCCTATTGGGCGGAGACACATTACATATGATTGGTTAATAGTTGCTTTGAATACATGTTACATAAATCATAATTGACGCTTGTCCACCCAGGCAAACGATCCCTGAAATCACCGCGCCTAAAGCTTGTTCTCATTCCTCCTAGAGTTTCTGGAGTGGAGGACACCACGAGGGGCTCTAGTTGTGAAGAAGTAGGTTAATCCGCATATCGCAATTTTTGAATGCGTAAGTCTTATTGTGAAATGAAAGACACCTGCCTTTATCCCAAGTAAAAGCGAATGAAAACCAGGAGTTGTAAGGTATTTTTGTGTGTAAGATTGATTTCCTCCATTTCTTCAGACTGTTCGCCACTTCTAGCACGTACATGCCGTTTTGGTGGAAGAACGAAAATCCTCGGGAATTATGATCCGATCCGCCGCTGGAGAAGATAAATTTAGGTACTGAAGGGTCTGGAAACACGTTCATCCTTTCGATTTTTGCCCAGAACATCATTGTAATGCCATCAGTACACTTATCAGGATCACTGATGCATTTTCCTTCAAAATAAAATAGCACAGAAAGATATTTAAAAAAATATACGCTTCCATCAGACACTGCTTGAGCACTCTAAGCCATTAAGCTAAATAGAAAACCCATGCCGAACATCGTGCTGCTGAAGGCAGCAGCCTCGCTTTGCGAGAACTCAGTTTATTTTCACTTCGCTTTCCCTTTAATAGCAAAAATTCAATTCGCGTCAGTAGCTTTCAAAATGGCGAGCAAGGTGTTCATCGAGGAGACGGATAAAAATTTCGATTTTATCACGGAAATAATGTTCCGATTTCTTGGATTTGGAGATTTTAAGGTTTCTATTGTCATAGAAAACTAGACTTAAGTACTTTTTTGGAATGAAATGTCCAGTGGTGTAATGAATTTTAAAGATTCGTTTCTATCGTCAAGCAAATTTTACGGGCAATCATACCGACCGGTCACACTTTTGAGGGCCAGGGCACAGCAAAATTGAGGAGTTTAGACACAGCAATAAGAGGTTCATCAAAGGATGTATTACACTTCACATTGTGCGTATTTTCAGCTCTTCAAAGCCAGTGGAACCCCATATCATTCCTCTCAAAGTTCGCTTAGCTGTGGCGTTGAAAGAGGAAGCTAAATGATAGGCGTTTGTGAGAGACTGTGAGCGTTGAATCTTGTTGCTTTACAGCATTTTTATACTGTATCGGGCATACACCTGTAATTCTGTAATTAAATCCCGAAAACCAATAAAAGGTTTCGTTTAATTATTTTTTGGGGGCAAACCCAATGGAGATTTTAGGGTAATAATATTGATGATTAAGACGATGTACAAGAGGCAAGTTTACCTTTCGCCAGTGGGTCACTGGTAGGTGTTGGGTGTAAATTAGTACAGTTTGTGGTGTACTGTGTGTTGTTTGTCATGATGTCAACTAACGCTGAAAACAATTCAGCTGTTTCAGAGGAGGGACATGTCTTGACAGCTTATGGTTTTTTTTCTGGTCGTAAGCTTGGCCATGAAATATGCAGATGAAGAGCTTTTGAAATCCCTTTTACAAAAAACTCCCGACTTAAGCTTAAAATATATATTGATCCAAGTGCATGACCAGCAGGGTCAGCAGTAAGAATGAAGAAGGGAAAATAGTGTTAAAAAAAAGAGACCAAACAAAAAAAAAAACGATACAAAGAAACAGAAAACAGCGTCGCCGGGAGTCGAACCCGGTTTGTCTGCACATTCAAAACAACTTCTTGACCACTGCGCCACAGTGACACACGTGAGTTCAAAAAGTAATTTTGTCATATCAAAACAATTTTTCTCTGCCATAGACGCTGTTTGAAGGTGGTGGAGCTGTATTTATCATGAATTCAAATATACATTTGACGAAAATTAGTTCAAGCACTTTTTCAAAGCTATTTCGCATTATTTCGGGTTCAACGGACCGACTCGATGTAGATAATCGATTGAACTAGCTTTACTGAATTTGGTGGGGAATTAGGAGATCAACAGAGGCCCACACTCGGAAAGAATGATATGAAGTTAGGCCCGTTTAATTAGCAAAAGAATAGATGAAATATAAACTTGTGTGATCTGTGAATGGAACCTCCTATTCTGGAGACTAGACCTTGCCTATTCTAGAGAAAAAAAGATTTAAGTTTTGATGACCTTCCCGCAACACGGCCCGCAAAACAAATAAACAAAATTATAAAATCACGGACACAAAATATCCAAACGGTTTACACAAGCAGATTATAGCAACACCAAAGCTCACACACATTCGATCAAATAAGCGATATATCAGTAGCGATATTTGCTAGCAGCTTTTCCTCGACCTCGCTCGTCCAAATAACTGTCGTATCCCTTGCTAATTTGCACAAGCGACGCGAGGCTCTTGCCCGTTACTATGTGACGTCATACTGGCAGGCGGAGTGGGTCAAGAAACTTAGGTGGAAAACAATAGAGTTACCTCCCCCACCCCCTGCTCTTTAATAATATTAACCCATTTTAGAAAATCCCCAAACCAGGTCACTTTATCAAAGGGCAAAGGGCTTCGTAGCTTGATGCGCAATCATATTTGACGTCACTGCTTAATATATTGCCAACTAGTTGATAAAATGGAAAGGACCTTTCACCTTCAAAATTTCCCAAGTCAATCCAACTGCCCTCCTTGATAGTTGACGCTACCTTTCCTCTTGCTAAAGAGTCAGCAATTCTGGCGCCATTCTAAAGGTATATTACGTAATAATATAGTGGAATGAGAATTATCTAAATCACATAATAAAACAAGATGCCTAACTTAACTTTTACTATCAAATAAATGCCTCGAGAAGCGCAACGAGTGTATTGGATTATACGTTCCGCTTCAAAAAGAAAACACCTGCAGTCGCTCGGACCTTTTCTCGAGTGCTGGTAGAAATTCCCAAGCACTTAAGTCATGTATGAGAGATGATCTCCAGTAGGTTTTCGGGATCCGGGATTTGCCTTCATTGAAGGTCTTAAAGTAAAATGAGGGCGAGGTTCGGGATTGAATGGATAAATTGGATGCGGGATGCTCGGGGGGAACTCGGCATATGAAAGGGGTGGGATGCTTGTCGTCTCGCTTAGGGGTGTAAATTTCGGATTTTGGTCTCATTTAGGGTGTTCTGGGCAAAACGCCATCATATTTAGTCGTGAAGGTCTCGTTTAGGGTTGCACGCCAAAAAATATAAAAATATACATCTATTGTCTGTGTTTTAACATGGTCTCTTTTGGGGGTCAAAAAAAGCTTGGGCCACGCCCAGATCGGTCTCCTTTAAGGGTTTAATTCAAAATTTCCGACGAGCATCCCCACCCTTTTCATATGCGGATTCCCTCCCCGGGATGGGGATGGGAACGCCGAAAATAGAAGTTACCATTGGGATTGGGGATGACGCCAAAATTTAGATCGCGGAGGGAATGACGGAACTGAATAACCCTACTGGGGATCCTCATAAAAAGCCAGTTTTTGTTGTTATTTTTTTGTTGAATTCCTTATGTAATTAATACAATTGTACCTGTAGTATAGCGGGTTTTGAAACCTGTCACCCTCAGTTACACAATTGACTCTGTTTCTCTCCTACCCTCCCCCCCCCGACCCCTTCATCCCTGACTTTTTACGGGCTGTTACCCCGAGTTTTGCGAGGTTCTTCGATACACGTATTTCTAGTTAATGCAGTTGTACCTGTAGTATAGCGGGGGAACCACCTTTTTTATCAGGCGTCTTGTTATTCTGAGCTTCATCAAATGACCAACAGTGAGAAGCGGTAGAAAACATACCTTTACAGCCACCTACGGGCGAAGAAATAAAGAACGTCAACTATAGCTAGTGCGCAGATGCAATGAGGTTTATCGTCATATAAATAATGCAAGGGGTCCCATCCATATTCAGCAGTGAGGTCTCTTTCTAGACACCGAAACCCTTTGCAAGATATTTTAAAAGTGAAAAAAAGCTTGATCTATTTGTGAAGTCGTAAAAAGAGATATTGTTTAAAAAGTTTCCTCAATGGGATGGTGGACAGATGGAAATCTTGTCCTTTGGGGACTTCTGGTGTAGACGTTGGTGATCCTTCATCATTTGCCTTTTAATTTCAATAAATAAATAAATATAATTATTGCGTATTAAGGAATATATGCATTGAAAAGGTGATGAACATCATTGCTCAATTTCATGCAGCCGGCTGTTAATGTCTATAAAAATGTTTTGTTATAACCCAGCGTTGACTAGTGAGTATGGGGGGATTAAGCTAAAGGAAAAAGCGTTATTTGGGAGGTATTTAGCAAAAGGAAAAAAACTGCCGTCTTCATTAAAGTAAAGTTAGCTTCTTTTTAATATCAACATCCTCGCCAAATGAGATATAACAGAAGAACTAAAAAATTTCACTTTAGTGTACCTTGCTGAACCAGAAGGAAGAGGGGAAAAGCAAAAGAGAGATAAAATTGGGAACGTTTTCAACAATTTCTACTGTGATTGTAACCTTGTATGCAACCCTTACGAGGTACTTGACCGAAACAATCAGAAACCGTTAATCTAAATTGAACGTAACATAGTAAAGACACACATTTAAAACTCCAACAGGCAGAAGGCAGAACAGTTAAGATTATTTAAAGTTTTGGCCTAGGGTTCCAAGAAAAAAATCTTGCTATTGGTCAAACCGGAATCCAACTCCCGATTGGATAGCGAGTATGGTACGCTGGTCCCTAGGCTAAACTAGTCCCTCGTCAGTTAACCGTAGATAACTGACAACTTACCATCAAGAGCTGATCTTCGTTGGATTGCTATCCGTTCCCTCCAAATTTTGTGGTTGAGTTCTTTCGCACATTTCCCTGCTAGAAAAAAAAAATGGCTAAGAAACATTTAACATTACAAACAAAAATCTGGCGGCTGTCACTTCGGTTCTCCCTGTACATGTCCACAGTAACTAGTAATATCGAAAACGGGGTGAATTTACGGGGGCACCCAAAGAGAATATAGTTCAAAACCACTTAAACACAGCATTGTTAAACGTGTTTTAGTATTTAAACGGTGGATATGGGCATATTTTTATCCCCTATAAATTTTTCATCTGTTCGGATTTCCTAGCTGAAAGTCTAGTGATCCGAAAATTATAGGGATCAAAACTTACCTGTTCGAAAATTTCAGCCAGAAAAAGGGCTCCCGAAAATTCTAGGTGACCTTTTTAGAATAAAAATTCGTTGAAGATCGGCAATTTTACCTTTTTTTAGATGTTCGAAAATCCTAGGAGAGGCAAGCAAGCAAGAAATTTTACACAAATGTTCCGAAAATTCTAGATCTCAAATCGCCCTCCGAACAGATATTTTCCCGAAAATTGTCGTTGGGTGCCCTGAATTTAGGGAGTTATAACGCAATAAAGTGCACGTGAATGAAACTTCTGGTTTATTTCTTTGCCTCATGGCAGGACTACGCTGGTGGAGTTTCCCGATGCTATCCGACTTTTTCGTGGAGGACGTACGTTAACTTAAACGTCCAATTCTTTTTTTCTCTCTTTGAACTTAGATACGGTCTTGATATAATCCAATAGCCTATTTTTCACGATGGCGTCATTTCACTACTCAGTACTAGAATCCATTTTATATTTCCTTTTATGAAAAATTTCGGTTGTTATTCTACTACATGAGAAATTTCTTCAATTTGATTGGCTTAGTGCAGTGGTATTTCAGCTTAATTTGAAATACCTACAAGTGAAAATTACAAACCTTTTGCGGGTAGTAGTATAAACAAATAATAGCATGATTCGCGAGATATTTGGCATAAATAACACTCGTGATATTTCAAAATTGTCTCAAATTACGTATAACAATTTCTATGTTTATTAAAGCTCAAATTACGTATAACAATTTCGAAACATCACCGTTGGTATTTATACCAATATCATTTCAAATCATACTATTACCTATACTTATCGCAAAAGCCCTAATTTGCACAACCAGGCAAAACCCTGGGTTCCGGTACCAGTAGTAAAATGATGTCACTAGTAATTGGCCTTGTGCTCAAATAGAATTCGGCTACACTGATGTTTGAAAAATCGATTGCATTGAATAAATAGCTAGAAAGGTTGTAAGAAAGCGAAATTACTTTTTAAGTAACGTTTTCGCTGTCGTCGCCGTTCTGTATCTCAAACTCCTTGATGCTATTAACAAATCTGTTCTCCCTTTCTGGCAGATAAATTATGGACATTAAATTAAAAACAAGTTGATTAAACTGGAGGCAACATATAGGGGCAGAAAACTGTCACTTCGCTGTCTACCATTTGATACTCTTTTCAAGGCAAAATTTATTCCGGAAGACCTAATGAAAGCTAGAGATTCCAGGGTCTCAAAAATGGGTTCATTTCCAGCCATCAAAACCCAACATAATTTTTGCCCTTAACCATAGACGGGACAAATTAGGTTTAACAGTTTAAACAAGCAACAGGGAAATTAATTAGAGCATCGATAACATTTCAGTACAGGTATCGTCAGTGAATTCTTAAAAAAATGTAACATGTCCATCAAAATGGCATTAAAAAGGTTGTTGAAGAAGGCACAAAATTTAAGAATTCTAGGATAAAAATGAATATTGACACAATAACTCAAGAAATACAATACTAAAGATTAAAGTTGCAAACACAAAAGAATTTTTCTAGTGTTTCGGGTTTCTTAATAAACATGGCCACCATTTGCCAAAGAACTTCATTGTAATTATAACTACCTGATCTCCCGATAACTACACCCGGATTAATAAGACACAAAAATGAGCTTAAGCTGCTCTTAAACGAACACTACTAGCGGTTTACAGAGGTGCCCCCCCACCTCCCCTGCAATAATTCATTTCCGGTTTGATTAACTTTAAGTAAGATATGAAAACTGAATCTAACGCCTTAGCGGCAGCAGTACGCACTGCTCTGGACGATTTCTCCGCAGAGAAAAGCAGTATTATTTTATCACAACCCTCAACGAACCAAAATTAAAGATGTAACTACGCTCACTCAATTAACTCTCTCACGCGTGTATCTAGAGGAACCGCTCCAAAGATCTACTGATTAGACTTCTCTAGCTACATGTATTTCAAACAGGCAAATAGCTCAGAAAAAGTGACGAGTCAGTGAGAATTCCGAAACTGATATCGAGTTGTGGGGTCAAGTAGCCTAACCACTGTTTTAGACACCTACAGAGTAAAAAAGCTGTTACCTGTAAGTATCACTGCCAGAAATACTACATAGGGAGGGAAGGAAGGTCCCATTCTTCAAGCGTTTCTAATAAAACGACTACGATATTGTATATTTGGCCAGCAAACCTCCCAACAGTAGCCCAACTGATAGAATTTAGCGTGCAAGTCCAATGGCTGCCGACAAGACACTAATTAATCTGGAAGTCGACTGAATTATTACGAATCGCAGAGAAATGGGAAAAATGTGTAATTAGTAACGGGTAATGTGTAATTAGTGGGGGGAAAGACTCTAAAGTCAGGCTGAAAACAAGTTATTGAAACCAAGTAATGCCTTTGAAGGCATGGAAAAAACTGCTTGGGTAAAGCAGGTTTGAAAAAAGATTATCAACTAAAATTATATTTTAACTTTTGTTTATAACCTACCATATAATGTTTATTCCTAAGTGACACAAACTAATAATGGTAATATTACCAAATTAAAATTAAAACAAATTAAAATTAAAACAACTGGGACTTCGTCAGTAAACAGTGTGAATTCAACTCATAAAACGTCATCCCAAATTTACACTTCTTAAAGATTTCAAATTCATTTCGAAGGAGGCTTTCAACATTTAGAACAGTCTAAAGAAATAATAGATAACAAAGACTCCTTAAGGTACGTGTTTTCCACCTGCACTCTTTGTCCTCATATTAACTGTTTAAGAATGACACATTTATATTATAGGCCTCAATGTATTCTCTAAACTGGACTTTTTTCGACTATGGAAAAGATGAATCTATCTACTTGAAATTCGTCTTTGATAGATGAATTTCTTGTTTGAAAAGTTCCAGTGCTCTGATATGAAAGTAAGAATCAGCAGTGGTCGATTCACAAAGTGTTTAAGTACCTGCACAACTGTTGAGTTAAAAGACGAACTGAGGTGTCATGTTACCAGAGAACTACAACCTGCAACAACGACATCGAGAGTGGAGATCTTTTAGCTGCTTCCAAGTTGGCAAGAGAACGAGACATCATTCTCATCTCCGTGAAATCAGTAGAAAAAGTATGGACTTAAAAGAAGTTCACGCATTAGTGTACAGTGATTTAACTCTATGCGCGTGCCTTCCAAAATACCACTATTGAAACCACAGTTTCAATGAAATACACAAACACTCAAGTCAGTTGAAGCAGGCATTTTATTTTCTCCCACTTGTAAATATGCTAATCACTGTACAAAGGAATACATAGTCAGTCTGTGAACTCTATCGTCTATGTTCAGTAAAGCTTTTACGATTACTTCTACTCTAACATTCAACAAAACAAGACATTGAATTCTTTCATGTACTTTATAACAAAGACATAAGGTGACTTCATCTGCAGAATCGTCAATCCTTTGAAGACTGTTACCAATATAATGGTTACAGTTTACTCCAATTCGGTTTGTACAGTCAAACCTGTATATAACGGCCCTGTCTATAGCGGTGACCCTCCACATTACGGTCACCGGACAATTTCCAAACATTTTTCAGTTGCCTTATATTTTCTACAGGTTTGACTATTCTTCCATCGAAGACCCCTTTTGTTTAATCTTCCGTCTTGCTGCAGCTTGGCCATCACTTTTAGCTGGCCACCCAGGCCCAAATTGAGTTCAGTTCAGTTCAACTAGGGTTACTGCACAAGTCTTGGAAGATCGCCTACGTATAACAGTCAAATTGCGTACAGCAGTAAAGTAATCTTATAGTTAGTGTGTTTTCACTCGTAACCGTCTCTTGCAGCAAATGGGAGGACAATATGGCGGGCAATAGGCAAGGTTGCTTGTACAGGAAACAGGACAATGCCACGGGTTGTTTTCAGGGTAAATTGGAACAGGATGATAGGCCGACGGCGCTGGGTAATGGGCTGCAGCGTTCGAACAGCAGTGCGCGTCACAGCCCGCGTGACATGCTGAGCCGGCGCAATGAACTGGGCAGTATGATATACCTGAAATAATTCAAATGTACAAACAGAGTGTTTAAAAGACTGTGACTTGTAAGACCATTTAAAAGTAGGTAGCCTTGGAGCTTACTTCACAGTGACTAGTCGCATAAACATAACAACTTTCGTTAATTTACCAGACATGTTTCGACGGTACATCTGTCATCTTCAGTGTTACATATCTTGAAATCGTCCTTGAATTCAAATCGTTCGCGATGTTACAAAGTTCGTTACTTTGCGTTGGCAATATTGCCTACTGAAAAGTTTAAAATTAGTGACGCTCAGCTACTTACAGGGAGAGAGTCAAGTTTATGTTTTTCACCTGCTGGTTGAGGTCGGGTTTTTCCCATTTTATGAACATAGATTCTTTGAGCTTTTCTTGGTACTTAGTACTGACTAGCCTAATTGCAATTGGTGATTGAGATTGAATTAAGTCTTAAAAGTTATCCTGGGGGCTAGCCCTCGAGAGCTTACGACGTTCTTTCAACAAGAAGTACTGACACATTTTATTCAAGAGCATCGTTCTCTTCGGCATATGAATAGAAGACTTTTCCCCAGGAGTTTAATCACCAAGAAAAGGAAACAAATCAATTCTTTTATTTCATTGGCAAAAAATTGTTACATATTGTTTGTTCACAATTTCCAGTTTCTGGGGGCCGATGATCCAAATCGATTGGGTGGTAGGAAGCTAAGATTTCTTCTTGCCGTTCTTGACATGATAAATATAACATACACCTGCTAATTTAGTACTGAAAAGTAAATGCCATGAGTTAACTTACCTGGTTTGACAATTTCTATAGCGGTAAGTCTAACGGTAGCTCGGTTGGACAGCTCAAGTTCACCGTCATTCATTTTCATTTTGTTTCGCAGGGCGTGGATAGATTCTGAGCTTACACCAGGACCAAGCCTCAAAATTACCTCAACGTTTGACTCGCCATTTGGCATGCATCTACATAAAAAAAATTAGAATGATTTCAGTGAGTTCAGGGTGTACGGAAACTTCTTTATGAAGCCATAAGGTCATAAATTTAGGTTATTTTACAAGAGCCTTGAACTGGGACTCTTACCATGAAATGATCGTATACAACATTACCACAATTTCTAAAGGAAATTTGCAAATCACCGCCTCGTACAAAGTAGTTGCTTTTAGAATCATAAGCGGGAGGAGAATAGTTGAAACTATGACTCCACCCCTTTCCCGCCTTCCCTGGCGACTCAGGATAAAGCTTCAGACCGTAGAGGGGTCTGGGGAGCAAGGGGTGGCGCAGTGCTGAGAGCGCTCGCCTCCCGCCAGTGCGACCCGGGTTCAAATCCCGGCGTCGACGCCATATTTTGGTCGAGTTTGTTGTTGGTTCTCTACTTTGCTCGAGAGGTTTTTCTCGAGGGACTCCGGTTTTCCCCTCTCCTCAGAAACTAACATTTCCAAATTCCAATTCGACCAGGAATCAGGTAGACGAAGAACCACTTTGTGGATGTGCTACCTCCAAATAATTATTTATTTTATTTATTTATTACTTGAATGGTTAACCTTAATTCAACTGCAGCCAACTTCCACTGCCCTTCTTTAGTGTCTTTTAACCAGGTGGATTTCACATGAAGTTAAATTCCTTTTTAGCAACTTTCAAAAACGTTGTCTCATCAACTGATAAAAGTGTCAGGAGCCGGCTCCTGAAGTGATCAATCACCGTTGTTACTTACTTGATTGTGTTCACTACAGGCACGACTAATATCTTTCTTACTTCAAAAAAATGAGCTATCTGAAAAAAAGGAAGGAATATTTTATCAACAAATTAGGTTAAGAATCCGGTATTTCATCTAAGTATGCAATAAGGCTAAAAAAAATAACGCCACTTAAAACCCATCTTTCTTAAAACTGATTACATTTTAGTCCAGGATAGCATAAATTGATTTGCTCATTAACACTGAATTATACCAGTTTTTTGTTTCAGCACAGACTTCAGTCCCTTACCTACACCCTCACGATATCTTTGTAAGGCCCGGTTCAGACGCCGAACTTTTCATGAGCCGAACGTAAAACATTTAATGAAGTTTATGATCGGCGTCTGAATCAATTAGGAATGCCTGTTTCAATTTGGAACGGCTCAGCCGTTCTTTTCGCCTAACCCGGCCGGGAATTCTGCCTTTGGAACGACTTTAGAACGGCTTTGTTTCAGACGCCGAACTTTTCATGTACCGAACCTAATGCATAAATTATTATAACGTATTTTGTAAGCAGTTTGAACGAAATGAGCATTTTTTTGCCTTTTGTTTTTAGTTCAGCGTCAATTAAGATCGGCGTCTGAATCAATTCAGCGGGTCTAAATAATGGTCAAGGTTCGGCGTCTGAGCTGGGCCTAAAATGATTAACATAACATTGTCAATAAACGTCCTCTTTATACATCCATAGCGTAAGTAAAAAATATGACTAAATCTTAAATTTAGCGACTTACGAGGATTACGATGTGCAATGACCTACCCTCTCTCTCAGCAGATCGTTAAGGCTTTGAATGTAAGGTGTGCACGTGTAGTATTCAGGGTACGCAGCCATCGGGTGCATGACATTCTGATAATTAGTTAGTTCTTCTGTTAAGTGAAAAGTCAATTTGTATGTGGTAAAACCTGCAGGAACAGAAAATGACAAATACTTTATAATTGACAGATGGAATCTCCATATTTTTGTAGCAAGGGAATGTTAGCAGAAGAAGCTCACAAACAGCCTAGAAAAGACAACACTTTTCATCCTTTTGTCATGTGTTCATCGGGCGTCGGCGTACTACAAACCTGAAAGTTGTAACATCATAGCCTATGTATATGAATACTCGCTTAATAATAAAGCTTGCTTTAGGCATTGGGCTATTGCTCACTGGAAAACCTATTGTTTAGTAGTCACTCCAGAAGAGCAAACGTTGGAACAAACCTTGCATTGAGCTGTGTTATATAACATTTCAAGTGACCTCTGGCTCGAGGAACTCTCCTTTGGAGATTCATCATAACGTAACATAACTGCATCATAACGTTTTTACATGCGTTCTACTTACCCGGTATTGGTACCTCACAGACAAAAGGCTTTGGATCAAGACAGTGTCTGTCCCCCCAGCCCGGCGAGTGTTGCCCCCTTGCCTGAACGATACAGTTTTCATCTTCATTGCCGTCAGGTTCCCCTGGCAACCACTCAGAAAAGGGGATTGTGGATCCATCAACCCACACATACCGACCCTCACTTGAATGGTCATGCAGTCCAATCCAAGCTTCCGAGATGTCGTGGTCTAACGAAAAACAAAAGTTTAATTTAAAAAAAAAAGGAAGTATTGCTTGAGTGAGACCTTCAACCGCTGCACAGGGTGTCCCAAAAGTTCTTTCCTCTAATTTATAAGTCTGTATTTCAGTACGATTGGACTTGGTAAGCAAATCATTTCAACAAAAGTTGTGTCTTTCAATATAATTCACTATTTTCATACTTGTTGTGCCATTGTTTGTCTCGAATATTCGATTTGTGCACGTCTGCGCCAAAGGTGCGCGTGCGCGAGTATATTTTTCAGCCACAAATGTTTTGTATTTCATAGCCCGAATTTCTCGGCAAGGAAGCTCAATCTCACATAGTTAGCAAGCCAAATAAAAGGGTCATGAAAAGCTGTTTAAAATGTTTAAAATTAGAGGCCCCTGAGATGGTAAAAAAATACCTCTGCTTAGTCTGCCAATTAACACCCGGCTCGTTTCAAATTTGTGAAGAAGTGCAAAAGCCTTGCTATGGAAGGGGGCCGGGATGATTATCTTTTTTGAATGAATGACCAAAATTTTTTTTTCAGGTGCGTAAACTAACCAAATATTGTTTGAGGGCTGAACTGGATCCTGCGCAACAGGTGATAAAAAAGCTCAAAATGGATCATTTGTGGGTCTACACTCTGTATCCAACTTCATGCCGCAACGGCTACAGGATGTGATAACAAACAAAAAGGGCATGCCAGTTACTGAAATTCTAAATACATGTACTTGATAGAGAAATAAACATCTTCTAGTAATTTCATATAAAAATAAAGTTTTGGTCAAAAGTTATAGTGCATGAAATTAGAGGAACAAATTTTTGGGACCCCTTGTAATTAGAAATAAAAGTTAAAAGTTAAGATCCGACCTTTCACCGATTAACGGCACTTACAAAATTAAAATATTTTATGGTTTTGAAATTCAGGAAACAATAACCTGGTCGTAGTCATTTTGGTCATTTTTTTTTCTGTGTAGGAGGTCGCTGTTCCCAAGCATTAGACCGCTAGCTACGTCGATACGAACTGGCAAGCGTTGCATCTTAGTACAACTAGCTGTAAATGACTTCAGCAGAAGGAGATAATGCTTGTTGCACAGGTTACCTTTTGGTGTTCTGATGCCTGTTTTGCTTGTTCTTAATATGAACGGTTCAGAGCTGAGCGGTGACGTAACAAACAAACAAAAAGGCCTGAATCATGGTATCTTTAACGAAACTAGTTGCTCCTAATATATTACTTTTGCTTTCAAATTTAGATAAATATTCTCGTCTTTTTAAAACAGAAACTTTTTTTTACTTTAGAGGTCAGGCGAAGCTCCTTTAAAGACAATAAACGCCGACTTCTAGTAAACACAAGGCAAACCAATAATTCAGATTCATACCACTAAGCAGATTCACGACCAGATCAGCTTCCTCTCGGGTTTGAAGAGACGCTAGCGTGCCGCCATCTCGTGCACAATCAATAACAGCACGGATCCAAGACTGGGGGGTATCGTGCACGGAAAAGCATGACCTACTTCCATATGGAAGTCTGTAGTAGCCATCAGGACAGGCGGCTTAATAAAAAGACAAACAGCAAAAGAAGTAAAAATTAAGCATAGTTTCTAAACGACTCGACTAGAACTATAGGTGACAATCTCCAAGGATGTAGAGCGCATATTACACTTTGGGGTACCTCGGTACTTATCAGATTCAACACTAAGAAAGGGAACGTTTATTTGCCTGAGGGGACTTTAAGCATACACCGTTTCTGTCTAAGGGTACAGGTGGGCGAACATGTTTCCCAAGTAGTTATATATGCTTAAAAGGTGACCATGATTTCCCAGATGTGATAATGGCATAATCGTTCTACCAGGTAACCTAGCCGTTCCTCCGGGATAAGAGGCAATCTACCCTTACTTACCCCGGGCTACGGGTACGGGATATTTACCCGTACCTGAATAAGGAACGGTGTGTATTAAGGGCTCCAAAGTTAAACACCTTAACCTAGATTAATTTTATCTTTCGAAAACAATAATTATAGTAATGATTATGATAATTAACTAGCCTCGATTTTGGTCCTTTATATTCCTCAGTTATTTTCCAGTTGATTCTCTATGAGGCGGACACTTCTTTCAAGATGGACAGTTAGTTGAGTTTAGTTTAGTTGAGAAAAACTAAGATACACCTTTTTAGTTTATTTTTTGTCTCAGGGTGATCCAGTCAGCCCTAAGGCGGGATGACCCTGACCAGGGTTACAAATACGCTTACTAGTGAAATCCATTTCTTCTGATAAAGACAACATCGAGTAATCAACAGGAGCAGCTATGAATTAGATATTGTAAACCGCATAGCATATGAAATTTAAAAAAATTGCGATAAGATCAATTGTTTTAAAATACTATCTGCTAAGATTGTCTATGTTTGCAGATACACTCACCGTCTGACGATGGTTCAGAGAGTCCTGAAAACAAAGGTTAAATAGAGTGATAAAAAGTCTATATAGGGAACAAAAAAAAAAAGAAGTGGAGTCCAGCATCGGTCCAGCATTTTAAATTTTTGCTACCCTTAAATTAAATGTGAGTCACCTTAGTTCGGCAAAAAGATTCTGTTATGAGGCACATTTTACAGTCAAGGGACATTTTACTAGTTGCTCACTCCCTTTTTTCTCAAGAGCATTTGATTAAGCAGTGATATTTCAAGAAAAAATGGATGCTAGTCATTCTGGGAAACAGAGGAGAAGTAGCATGAGGGGTAAATGTCAAAGTTAGGGAAATGTATTGTTCTGTGGGAAAAAGAAATCCAAAACTTATATTGATTTCTTTCTAGAAGTTTATAGTTTGCGTCGTTTAAAAAACTCATTAGTACATCTAATTCAAAGAGTAAATATAAAGGATAGTAATATCATGTATTTTTCTCCCATTATCTAGGGGGAAAAGTAAAAAAAAGTCAGAGAGAATTTTTTAAAAAAATTAAAAGCCCAACAGATGTCTTTGACGCCGTTCAATAAACGATCGAATAAATGATCATGCTGATCAACACTAGACTGCAACTTGTGATTTAAACCTGATTATCAGCAAACAATCATGCATTTTTAACAAACTACAATCATGACCAACACTAACCTGCTGCAGGTAAAACGTTTTCTCGGACGTCGCCTCCTGCGTTTTGTCCAGGATCAAAGAAAACCACAACGTAGTTATAAACGTTATCATCAGCATAGTTGCCTTCAATATTCTCCCTTTTGTTTGCACCGTTTCCCCTTGCAAGTCCAACGCCCGCAAGAGCGTTGTTCTTCCAAACCAACTGCGTGAATGGTGACGATTTCAGTGTCAACTTGGGGTCAGCCCAGTCATAAAAGCTAACGGTACTATACCATTTGACGGTACACGCCTTCGCCATATCACCTCCTGGATGGTGCATGCACACCAGTTGCCCATACTCAGAGTCGGGGTTAATCTTGGCCTCTCCTTCGGAGGCGATTTTGTGCGCCCATTCATCCGCTAGATGATTCAGTTTGTCGCTAGCTAATACGTCTGTGGACTGGTGAAGTCTTCGGAAATAGTTTATTTCGTTAAGAAGATGATGGCGAAATTGTTCTGCAAAATATTATCTTTATCAGAAACACTTGCGACATAAAATCATCGTTCTCACCGACCGATGAAATATATCGCATATGAGGAAACAAATGTTTGTGTTTTCCATATATGGGCCAATTAAATAAGTGGTATCTGCTGGCTGTGAGGGGTAGATAATTCAAGAAGTTCAATCTGGGACCAAGAATCGAATTGATTTGCTCTAACGACGGGTTAGCGTCCGATTCTCTATCCCTAAGGTGGTAAATATACAAAAAAAAAAAAAATTCCTCTGGACCCTTCAATGTTTTGGATAGGGTGTAGAAATCAGAGGGTTCCGGTCTAAAACATGATATTATCAATGGGGAATTGATCAGTGGTATGATGATAGGAGTTTCTGATTAGTTGTGATAAGGTAAGGATTTTTAATGCCTTGCCTATACTAGAAAAGGGTAACATCATTACAGCAGCTTAAAATTAATGGACTGATTTATCCGAGGGTTCCGTGATCTAGGTGTCACACATCTCTTCTGAGGGTCGGAGCCTGAACAAGGCACCTCTTTAATTTTAACACTGAACTCTTTAATTCCTGCATTTTATTTTCATTCAGCTTTATTTATTCCACGGTAAAAACTACTCTCGTCAGCGTACTTTTCAAAAGAATCTTTTGTTGGGCAAGTTTCAAGTAGCAACAATGATAACTGCAATTAAATGATAACTTTTCCTAAAAAGTTACTAAATACTTACTAATATCTGGAAGCGGTGTTTGTGGTTGAGCTGTGAAAATTTAAAGAAGAAATAAAAAAGAAAAGCCAATGTAAAAATGATGTTTCTATTTAGAGTTTTATCACGACAGAACAAAAGTATCCCTGAATTATATGGCAGGATAATGTTTTTTTAATTAAATTTCATTTTATTGAAGGTTGTGAATCTTTTCAAGATTGCTAAATCGCCAACTTTTAGTTGTAATTAAGAAGAGAGAGTGGAAATTGGTAAGTCCTGAGTACTCAACAGAATGATTTAAGAGGCCGTTTTAACTAAAAGGAAAAGGCTGAATTTTGCTCTATAATCTGTGATACACTAAAATAATAATTTGAGAAAAAATAGCTATCAACATTGTGTATACTAGAATGGTAAATCAGTACCGTACCCTTGCTGACATTTTCACATTTCAGTCCAAAGAAATGTTGGGGACATTCGCAAATAAATCCTTCGGGTTCGCCAGGCCTTTCATGGCAAGTTCCTCCATGAAGACAGGGGTTGGGGTCACACGCTGCAAAAAAGTTATTTCCTAAGTTGTTAGATTGGATACGATGACGATAATTGTGATGATGCTGACGACGACGACTACAACAAGGACAAGGACAATGATGATACTGACAAGGATGATGATGATGACGATAATGATGATGATGATGATGATGATGATGACAGGCGCTTGAATTGAAACAATATTGAGATGTTATCCAAATGCTGAATCATTTCTCTCATTTAAATTTCTATCAGTCTTAAATGGGGATATAAATTATTTGCCTGATAGGTCAATATAATAAACAATAAGAATAGCAAAACAGATGCTTGATAATATTTTCCTACCTGGTACTCTTGCTGAGGGTACATGACAAGCGGAGATAAAGCACGCAAAAAAGATAGAAAAGAATACAAATAATTAGTGAAATAACGAGGAAATTTTTACCCTGGACAACATCAGCAGCGTTAGACTTTCCACTGTTCTTTTTTGTTTTTCCATTTTTTGACATGGACAAGTAAGGGAAAATCCGTCAACTCCACTCGCTACTCCGATGCACTGGAAAGAGTGCCATTAAATCAATAAAACTGCTAAGTTTGAAAGTGATCTTCAAACTTGGAGTTTT